AAAATCATGTACAACGACGAAGCGCATTTCACTTTGAATGGGACGGTAAACAAGCAAAACTGCCGCATCTGGGCGAACGAAAATCCCCGTGAGTATCAAGAGCAGCCGATGCATCCTCAAAAAGTGACTGTGTGGTGTGCATTGTGGTCAAAAGGCATCATCGGACCTTACTTTTTCGAAAATGCGGCCGGGGACGCCGTTACCGTCAATTCTGAGCGATATCACGTGATGATAGATGACTATTTTTTGCCGCAACTTGAAGGAATGGATATGGACGATGTTTATTTCAAACAAGACGGTGCAACATGCCACACAACCAACGTCAATATCCATCGATTGCAGTCCTTCTTCGGTGATCGCGTCATTTCGCGCAGAGAAAATGTGCCATGGCCACCAGGATCGTGCGATTTGACTCCCTTGGACTTCTTTTTATGGGGATATTTGAAAAGCAAAGTCTACGTCAACAAACCAGCCACCCTCCAAGAACTCAAAAACAACATCATTGCCGAGATAAATGCCATAGAACCGACTATGTTGCAAAATGTCATTGAAAATTTCGACCATCGCGTGGACGTCTGTAAATCCAGTCGTGGTGAACATTTGAGTGATATTATTTTTCATACATAAATGGTATAAATGAACCTTCAAAATAAAGTACCCAACTTGATTTGAATATCAATCTTTCTTGTTTTAATATGCGTTTACTTTCTTGCGTCCGTTTTGGCCAACCCCATATAAAGGCAAAATTTACAGAAATTCTTATGTATTTGCAGTTTAGGTGAAAAGTAGTTTGGGTATATCAGCTCTCAGAAGACTAACGTTTTTACTTCAAAGAAGATTTCCCGGCAATTTTAGATTTTTCGATGACCTTTCATTCCAAATTACCATTTTTCGTTGGCTCATTGTCACGAAGAACAAAAATTGGAATCTATTGTAACGAAAACACCGTTTTTTGCTCTTTAAGGCCCGTATCGTCAGTCGTTCCTACAATTGTAGGGCGCCTTTATGGCCTCCTTGATTGTCATAGTTTTCTACTTTTCCGTGTCAGCGCTCTATTTTGAGGTTATGTCACAAATATCTATTTGCATTAAATTGTGCTTGCTTTTGAGTTATATCAGTTTTATCAGCCTGAAATTTCCTACAATTTAAAAAGAAAACATATCTTCACAATAGGAGAGCGCTGACGCTGACATGGGACAGGTGCAATCTAGAAATTTTGAAGGGGAGAAAGGAGTATGACAATCAAGGAGGTCATAAACGCGCCCTACAATTGTAGGAACGACTGACGATACGGGCCTAAAGTCTAATCCCTTGTACACTATTCCCTTGCAACTAATTTATGACCAATTTCTAACCATGTCGACTTGACTTTAGCTGTTGTTTTCTTCTTCGTTCTGCTCGTTCGGGACGCTGCCTGTTGACTGTGTCGTTTCCGCCATTTCTGCCTATATTTATTCCCCTATCGATGAGTTGAGATATACGCCAGAGTTTTCCAGGCAGAGTCGTGAACCTTCATGGAAGCGGTCTAGATGGCAGTAGATTCATCAAATCAAGGAGACGCTGAACGCTCTCGGACGTGAACTTGATCGCCCTCGAGGCACGGTCGCATAATTATATTATAATTAACCAATTGGTTGCCTAAGCATGGGCGTTCAGAATATGTGCCATTGTTCTAGTAACGAGCGTGTTACATTATGTACCTGTAAGTTTACTTACTAGTGAGAAAATTTTGAAAAATTCTTGTGTGGCTAAAAATGTCGACCAACTCGTTTCTTGAGTATTGATAAATTACCGAGTACCGAGTTTCATTCACTTGTAGCCTCAGGAGACGAAAATGGAATTTTCGAGTTCTGAAATTGGAGTCTCTTGTCTATAAATATTATTGATGAAGATTTTCACAAGATTCTTGTAAACCATGTTTCTTGAAGTCGGCTTCGTGTATTTCGGATCGGATGTTTAAACAGATTGATACGAGACCATTTTTCAACTACAACTAGAGCTTCGCGACATTTTAGGATTTTTTAATAGCCATGTTTGGAATGAAGGTACCAAATTACTTCATTGTACAAAATTTCATTCGCTCATAAATAATGAGAAATTTCAGAGTCTTTGAAGTCATAGCATATTTCAACAAAAATTCTATGACATTCTTTTGGATCTGCAGTCCCATGCATAACCTGTTCCTTGGATAAATCGAGTGTGTAAATCATAAACACGATGTCGGTTTTTCGTTAAGATTGACGGTATACCCAGAAGTCCCACTTTCGTTCCCATTTAAAATCAGCATCCCCAGTGTACCGAGAATTGTTCGTTTGTAGCCACGTTGGACGAAAATTGATATTTTGCCGTGAAAACTTCTGAATGCTTACTACTAAAGGAAATGTTCAAAGAACCTTGCGTATCTGCAATCTCGACCAAAACTCTTGAATAAATTGAGTGCATAGTTCATGAATTAAAATTAAATTATGATATCCTCCGTTCAGATGTCCCTGTTGCTGCGTCGTCCCCCAGGTCGTGAGGCCTACCCTGGTGACGTATTCTACCTCCACTCCCGTCTGCTGGAGAGAGCCGCCAAGATGTCCGACGCTCACGGAGGAGGTTCCTTGACCGCCCTGCCCGTCATCGAGACACAGGCCGTGATGTGTCAGCTTACATTCCCACCAATGTCATTTCCATCACTGACGGACAGATCTTCTTGGAAACTGAGTTGTTCTACAAGGGTAAGTTGCATCTTGCAGACATGTTCTCAATAAAAGAATGCTTTTCTTGTTCAACTGGACAGCAAAAACAAATTTAAAAGCCTGTCGGCATGCGGTCATGGTGGACTGTTTTGTCATTGTCGTCTATTCTGTCGATTGGTCCATACATGTGCGTATGATATATTGAATGTTTTTTTTTTTATTTCCAGGTATCCGACCAGCTATCAACGTAGGTTTGAGTGTATCCAGAGTAGGATCTGCTGCCCAAACCAAGGCCATGAAACAGGTAAAATATGGTAATCGAATATTCCTGCGAAATGTTGACAGTAATCTCGACTCGACATTTCCAAAGTTATTTAGGACGGTGACATTTTGAGAATGATATTTAAAAAACTGATTTGCATGTATGAGTTGGCCTAATTAAAAACCAAATATCCCAAAGTACCTATTGCGACAACCTTTAGATTTACAAGTTAATTGTAATGACTGCACAGCTCAAAAACTATTGCTTTAAAAAATGTTGCAGTATGTTGAATGTTGTGCATAAATTAAATGGACGGATTCGCTAACACCATGAGAAGCTATTTAGCTTCTATGAATGGGTTTGATAGTAACCTTCCAACATTTCCAAAAAGGAATCTTATTTCAGTGTGATTTTACAAAGGATGATTGAAAAAATATTGACAACTTTCCTATAGGATAAAATCTACCACTACCTCCTAGTGTATCTTAGAAAGGGGACATTTTAGGACAGTTTTAATCTTGGTCGCTACACCAACGGATCTCCAACATTTCATACATTTTGCTTTTTCTTTTTTACATTATATTAACTTTGCTTTAAGAATTAATTGTAAAATCTTTTACTTGGAGAGATCATCATTTCGATATCACCGATTTTGAAAATTTTTGCAAAGGCGAAGTTGATTAGAAATCAGAATTCTTTTTTTTTTTGTGAATTTCGATGATTCTTGTTCCAGGTGGCCGGTTCCATGAAACTGGAATTGGCCCAATATCGTGAGGTAGCCGCTTTCGCCCAGTTCGGTTCCGACTTGGACGCTGCCACCCAACAGCTGTTGAATAGAGGTGTGCGTCTCACTGAGCTACTGAAGCAGGGACAGTATGTGCCGATGGCCATTGAAGAGCAAGTCGCCGTCATCTACTGCGGTGTCAGGGGACATCTGGACAAACTGGACCCCTCCAAGATCACCGTTTTCGAGAAGCAGTTCTCTGAACACATGAAGTATGTACCATGGAATATTATCATCTAAGGGTGGCGAGTACACCAACCAAGAGACTCCAAAACTAAATTAATTTGTTTCTGAAAATATGTGGAGACATTGGTTCTGTAGCAGAACGGTCGTCTCATTATTTGTTTGATATGGCTTTCAGATAATTCTTTAACGATTGTGTTTCCAACAGCTCTACATTCTTTTTTGATGAGATTCTAATATTTTTATAAGTTTCAAATTGGTATAAAGTTATTAATAAAAATACTATTGCTCTTTTATGTAAGGAAAACAGTATTAGGCCGTGGGGGTCATAGTTTAACACACAAAGATACGAGGTAGCAAGGTGAACATTAAAAAAGCACCACCAAAACCTATAAAAACATCCACTTTTTCAAGCTTCTCCAAAACTTTCCAGGTACCCCATTTTTGAGCTCCAAATGATTGCACTTTTGTATGATTTGAGACATAAAATTGATTTATTTCAGGGCGAGCCACCAAGACATCTTGACCAGCATCGCGAAAGAGGGTAAGATCACAGATGACACAGACGCGAAATTAAAGAAGATCGTACAAGAATTCATCGCCAACTTCTCTGGTTAAGTGAAACGCGTCAGTCATTACCACAATTCTTAATCGATGTGAGATTTCCATTTTGATTTGCATACTAGCTACATTTGTGGCACCACGAACGATTGCAAGAATGCTGTGCATTTTGTTGTTGCATCGATTGAGAATTCAAAATGAAATATTTAATTATTAGATATAGGAGTATGTTATTTGTAAAATTTAAATACATGGTTAACATGTTAGGAGAAAACGAGGATTTTACATCGGTCTTTGGAAACAACTTGTACAGCATTTGTTTTTATTATTTTATTTGTAACAAAAATCTAATTAATAAATTTTTTTTGTTATGAGAATTCGTCTTTACTTCCCAAGAAGAACGGTTTTAAAATGTCGTTGAAAGGATTAAAATTGTAATTCAAACATTTCGTATTTGTAATTGAACAAATTAGCTACGATATTCAAAAACATACGTTACTACATATTTTAAAACAACGAATGTGTCCATCATCTTTTGTTGCGAATTAGTTACAAATACATGTTTGGAAGAAAAAATGTAACTCATCCTTTTTTGCATAAAAATAACGTTTATCTCCCGGAATAGTTTGCGATTCGTATCGGTAAGGTGAACTAGTGTATTCTGCTATGAAGTTCCCTTTGAACTAACCCTGTATATTGCTCAATAAACTTGTAGCGATGGCCGGAAAACAGGTGTTTTGGGATAAACCAATCTACTACAATTTTGTTGTGATTACATATTTAGAAGTACGAATTTGAAGAATTTCAGGTATCTGCGAGAAACCATCGTCGTATTAAAAAGTGCCAAAACCTGCAGCTTGCTTCAGTTTTCGGCCGTAACTTTTTTGCTATTAGTCGGATCTTTTTACGTGTGGTCTCATTTTGTAGGTCTCATAAATACCAAAAAATATTATAGGAAGAGTTTTTTCCTTCCTGTCAATATTCGATTGAATCGCAAAAAACACGTTTTCTCATTATTTGTCGCCAATAAAAAGTTTTCCCATAAAAATTGGTGTTACCCATTTTGTGTGTCCATGTTTTGAATATCCCGTTGAACAACTTGCAGCAATATAATCAGACTTTACAATTATTTTGCAAATCAGGGGTAATTTCGTCTAATATGATTAGACTATACTTGAATCAATTTCAAGTGAGACCAGACACAACAACCAGCACGCGTCGCTGGCATGATGGTCGTAGACACAAGAACCGAGCAGGGTCGGACTCAAAACTATGGAAATATTAAGGTGATATTTCAGAACTAAATATTTGAAAAAGAGACATCAGTAAATAATAACACAACACTACTGTCACAGAGTCAATAGAGGTAATTGAAAGTTAAGGGGGGCATAAAAAGTAATTATGCATATGTGTTTGACAACATCAATATTTTTCACTTTCACTAGAAGAGCTGTCATCATAGATGTTGATAATTAGCGGTTCAATATGCCTTTCAATTATGTTGTCTAGCTCCCACATTGCAACCTCCACTTTCTCCTGAACATGCTTCACACATTTTAACCATTTTTCTGGTGTGATTCTCTGCAACGCAAGGTTGAACAGCTCTTTCATGTCGGAAAACTTGAATGTTGTGTTGTGTTCAGCAACAAAATTCTTTATATCTGCCCATATGAGCTCAATGGGGTTGAGCTCACAGTGGTAAGGAGACAAACGAAGTACCATTTTATTGTGCGCTTTTGCCATCTCGTCCACTATATATTTATCATATTCTCTGTGTTGTTTCACAAGATCTAGAAGTTGTAATTTCAACATAAACGTATCAAAAGGTATATTTTTGCACGTAGCCAGTCCTGTATCTCTGATTTCTTAAAAGATAAATTTGGAATTTTTTCTAATTTCCGAGAATGATACGGAGCATTATCCAGGACCACCACAGAATTGTCTTTAAGACGTGGTAAAATGCCTAAAAACCAGTTTTCGAATGCTTCACCATTCATCTCTTCGTGGTAGTCAGTGGTTTTTTTTTATTCAAAACACCATAGTCCTTCCTTCACGAAGCCATCTATCTACACTCCCGATGTGGCAAATAATGAGCCTTTTTCCTTTGCCTATAAAGATAAAACTTGTTAAATACGGATGTACATTATATGTCTTTCACAAGAGTACTGAGGCCACGGAGATAGGGACACATTTCTGTATTTTATATACGATGCTATATTGTTTCTCATGATAGCGGGATGCATGCGGTGAGATATATCGGACACTTCAACCAATGCATCATTTAATCTGTTGATGAATCTGGTTAGCTTAAAAACAAAAAGAAACAGGCAACATCAATTAAACTAAAAAATTATCAAGTGTGACAAACTTATCGAAAAATTTACAAATCAACGCAATGTCTGACGTTGTTAATTAACGTGTTACATTCCGTGACGGACGAGGTATGTTGTCTCTTGATTTCCAGAGTGAACATCCCCTCGTTTTTTCTAGATATCTGATAACGTGTAATGCCTCATTTAAATCACTTTGGCTATGAAACATTATCTAATAACTATTGTTGGATTTTCTAAAATGGAATGTCTGCATTACCTGTAGGGTTTTTAAGCCCATCTAAAAACGCTCTTGCTGACGTTACTGTTTGGTCCACCCAAACTTTTGATTTTGTATGGCCAGCATTTATCCACGTCTCGTCCAGGAAGTAAATTCTACGGTTTTGGCTCCTGTATGTTTTTATTTTTGTCAAATACTCTCTCCGCCTTAGTATAATTTCATCTCTATCCATCAATGAACTGTTTCGGCCTCTCTTCTGCCAATTGAAGTTGAGTTCCTTTAATAGCCTGTAGAACGTCGTTTTACTAAAATTCGGCAAATCTGAGTCTTCAGTCACTACTTTCAAAATCTTATCAATTGTAGGAATTTCATTCTGGAAAAAGAATTCATGAACCTCCCTTCTGATCGCATGTCTGTCAGCATCATCTATTTCTTTAATTTGGCTTTTACGGTTCTGATTCGTTTTAGGTTCAGCAAATGCATTCCGTAATTTATATTCTTTGAGTACTCTAAATACCGATGCACGAGAAACTCCAACTTTATTCGCCACCCTCTGCACAACATCGTTGACGCTGAGCTCAGGTTTTTCCTCCGTTTCACATTTGTAAACATTTAAAATAATTTCTTTCACTTCGATGCTCAAATGGTTTTGTCTTGATCGTTTCCTGGGTGGACTCAATGTAGTTCTCCCTTCGTCAGTTGTGTCGGTAGAAGACATGGTCAAAAAACACCAAATATAACAGAACTTATAACAGCGATGCACTCGACGCCACGCCACGGCCTGATTACAACTCTGGTTTTTGTAGACATCAACGCGGCGCAACGGCGGGTTTTGTATTGCTATAGTCTAACTAAGTCTTAAAAAATGTTCGAAACTGCATGTTTTCCAAATTCATGGAGTTTTATATTGGAGCCACTTCAGGACATTGTATTTAACAAAAGCATCAATATGAGGGGCGGAAAGTTTAAAAAAAGAAAAATAAAAGCTACGAAATGAAACTATTAGTTGAAAAAGCAAGCGCTTCAAACTACAACTTCAAACCGTAAATGCCTGAACTATAATGAGACCCTCTGCGGGAACATCGATCACGCTTCGAGTTTGCGATGTTGTGGTCTCTCTTGGGCTGAATTTTAGTAGAGTAGCTGATGCTACATACATTCTTAATCAACTATATAAAAGTGAAACAATTTCAAGTGAAATACAATTATTGATATCAGTCTCAGAATATGATGACAATCCTTTGAGAAATCCCAGATAGTTACTATAAAACATTTCATATGGTGCTCTCTAAACGATGCTTCTAGAAATCGTTTATGACAGTTAATTCAAGGAAACTTTGATAGAGTATTGCCTCACTTTATCGGTGTAAAAATAGTAGTATTGCGTTTCGGCTAATCCGCCCCTGGTGATCTGAATGAGTTCCAACCATTTAGGAGGCCTAAAGTGGTTTCCATGATGTTGAAATTTTGCGAAGTTATAAAAAAAATTCCAGTAGAGTTCATGAGCCTGTATCTCAATATGGAGCTCTGCAAGACATTTTTCTTAGAAACTTGAATTATTTTTTGTTTTATGTAGAGTATCCTAGAAATTGCCACCTTATTCTTAATATGCATGTTTATATAAAATTATACCATTTATGCATTTGACAATGAATACACGATAGATAAGATTCGCTTTTTTTTCTGCAGTTTGAGAACATAGTAGCTACTATGATTAGAATTAAAATGAAACAATGTTTAATAACAGCAAGTACTAAAATATATCGCAACCGAAGTATCAAAAGGTAAGTTATTGATATTTGAATTTACTCCCAATTTTTTTGTTTTCCTTATAATTTTATTTTCAAATGACATCCGACTTCATTTCACAATAAATAGACAAAAGGACGCTAGATGTCGCTCCTATTTAGTAATGTGCCATCTCTCGAGTATAAATTAAAACAGGCATTCAGCTCACTTAGAAATCTGTAAGCATACCATTTTGACATAACAGTTTTAGCAATCAACCAGCAGATGCTAACTTATGCTCCTGAAAGCACCACCTATTAATAGTTCAAAAAACAATGTCATTTTATTGTTATAGAAATCTGTAAAATTTTTATTGACACATTGAATTCAAAACAAAACTATTAGAATTTGGAACACTGGTTGATTTGTTGAAATTTAAAAGATTTGCATAATATTGGTGAACAGAAATATGGAACCAGAAATTATAGATATTTCAGCAGAAACTTCCAAAAGGAAAAATGATGACATTCAAGGTGATAATGCAGTTCTCCAAAAATTCACAACAACATTTGAACATGTAAGCTCTTTGATGTCAAGAAGAGAGATATGATTTTAAATTTTTTCTGTTATTCAGGACATTATAAAAGATGTAATAAAAACCCAGTGCACAAACCCAAAGAACAAAATAACAGATGAAGCTGTTGAATTAGTTTCTGAAATAGCCAAAGCTCTTGTCGTTGAAGCATCCCTCAGAGCTGCTAAGGTGGCTTCCAATGAAAACAGGACACTGGTAACATTGGAAGATATTGAAGGCACTCTTCCTCAACTGGTATTTTTTTACATAAGCTAATGTCCATTTATCAATTTTCAGAAACAATAGTAATATCTATACAATAATCTAACACATGATACTTTATTCTGTGGTTTTCATGCTGGTAGAGCTCCATGACTTTCTGGCCAAATTTAACCACATTATGTATAAATTACTTTTTACTGACTTTTCAGTCCACTGTAGCCTCTTTTGATGTACAGATGAGACTATATGTTTTTCAGGTGACAGTTGATTTTTTTATATGAAGCAGCCACAAAGGCGGTAGCCTAATTACCAGTGCACCACAGCTATTATGAGGACCTTGAAACTTTGTTAATCTGATTTATGAACTGATTAAGGTTTGAAGAACTTAAAAAAGCTTCTTAAGGTATATTGTTTAATAATCTCGACACCCTAGGAAGAAAGGAGCAGTCATATTGGCCAGTTCTGAATGTATGAAGTTCTTCTCATTAATAATATTGGTGTTACGTCCAATGGCATTTACACAAGTGAAAAAGGAAATAGTAGCAGATCATTACTATACCATGTTTTTGGGATCATGAGGGAGGGTGATGTGTCTAGTACAATCCAAAATAACAAATAACTTCATACTTCATTGCTGGTTTTACGCGGTGATGGTCTCATGCGATCTCAATGTGGTACAGGAACCATTCAGGGTGTTGTTACAACACACTGTATAGTGACAAAGAATAAGTAAAAACAAATGAACTGTCACCTGGATGACAGGTGAATATAAAATATATTGTCATTGTCATATCTTTACTTTGAAGAAAGCCATGTGGTGGATGAAATGTCAGTAAAAAGTAGTTTATACAAATGCAGTTTCATTTGGCCGATTCTATAATGAGGGAGTTCAAATGTACATGCCTTGAATTGTCAGGATCATAGTCAACCGAAAATAAAAAAAATACAACTTTTTCCAGAAACCTTTTCGCATACCTTGTCCCATGTCTTACAAAATCATGTTTTTTTTAGATACTGGACTTTCCATAAAAGAAAGGATGAAGTACAAAACAACTCTTTATTGATGCAAAAATGTAGATAACAAAAATTTAGCTATAGGCTAAGTTCATGAGTAGTCATTCATGGCAACACTCAGCACATTTCTGCTACATTTTGGAGACTGTTCATTATACAACATCTATACTACTACTTTCACATGTCAATGGACTAAGGATAATGGTGGAGTGTTGATTTTTATGTTGGTTGTATAATATTCTGTCTATTTTCATTTACATTATGAAGAATCATAATATCTTACAGTTTGAAAAATGTTACATAATACAAAATTGTAAGATGAAATTATTTTAGTTTTATATACAATAAAATTGTTCAATTGGCACATATTTTATTGATTCCTTTTTATTGGTCAATGAACAATCTGAAACTCATAAATTAAAAACAGGCTATCATTTTTTCTCATAAAGTAACATCTATGATGATGTAAATACTGACAGTTGTTTAAGACTATTGTATTTTTTTTCAAAGAATCAGTTGCATGTTTCAGTAGGTAGATACTGTTTTATGCAAACTGCTCAACCCAATTAGAGGTTCACTTGCTTCAATCACCTGCATTTGTTTTTCACTTGTCTTGGGTATTTCATTTACGCGTCAAAACAAACACCAGCGTGCTAGGTTCAAAGTCGCGTGCTCTTATTGACCAGCATGCCATAAATCCCCTGGTAGGTGGCAAGGAGCGAATAGAAGCGAAAAGCATTTGTTTTGAGGCGGGTATAATAAGATATGAATTGACTTTCGTATCTTTGCAGGTTGAATGGAAATATAGCCTTGACTTTGATCTCAAAAAGAAACTTTTTCAGGTGAATTTGATACCCCAATCAAGGGCAAACAGCTCAAACAGAAATTTTTGGTGGAAGTCCCACAAAACATATCTACATTCGTGATATCTTCCTTTCTATTCGCATTTCATTTATATATAGTATTCCTCGACAAATTATCATGAGATGTGACATATATTGACTGTGTAGCCTGGACGTTAGTAATTACTGATGCATAATGTTACGAAGAAATTAGTAATTATTGATGCATAATGTTGGGAAGAAATCCACTGTTGGTATGGACTACAATACTGATTGTATTACATTTTACGTTACGTTTTACGGATTCCGAGATCTCAAAGGCGAGGTTCGAATTTGAAACACACAGTACATACACGTACATAGCTGCTGAGCTGCCCCCACTGTACCATCTTTTTCCTTATCCTTGAGCTGAGATGCCACATTTCAACGTTTATTTTAGAATACCCCGTCACCTGAGCCACAGAGCCCGCACCTTTCATCCGAACTCTATGAACTTTGAAGCACCATGACAAGCAAGTTCAAGACTACATTACAGTTCAAACCGCATGAATTTAGACAAGTGAAAGTCCGATAAACGATGTGATTGGCTGTTCAAGTCTAGCAGTTCATATTCAATTTGCTTTATTTCTGCTGATATAACACCAACAATGATTTGCCATATCTTAAATCCACACCATCTTAGCATGAATTTTACTTAAGCTGTCGGATAACTAACTTTTCAAAATGAGTACACACTTAATTTAAATGTTCACCTTAAAAATCTATCACAAAATGGTTTCTGAATCAAATAATCACACACACGGATAATTTTCTTAATAACGTGCCATTTTAGTCATTTCATCATCGCGGATCAAGAAGTCGATATGGGTCCACTATCAGTCTCCTCGAACTTTTAAATGTTTAAAACTAGTTAAATCCAGATCCCATAATAATAACATATATTCTGAAAAAACCTATATTCAAAAAGATGTTTATATCAAATTCGCAACAGCCAAGGGTGCAGTGACGTATTTACCCTAAGGCCAAAAGGGACATGGCTCAGGGCTGTTTTTTGTTCCTTCACAAGGCAAGGCGGTAAAACTTATAGGCCAAGGGCGCTGAATCTTTAAATACGCTACTGGAAGCATGTTCAACTGAGGTGGTCACTTCCGAAGCTTGCCACAGTTAGAGTAAACCCAAGCAAGAAGCATAGGGCGGGTAAAAAGAAGATGTAATCGTTTTTTTTTCTAAAAATCGATAAGAGATGGCATTGCTATACGTTGTATAAGCCATAACGGTTCATCCAAAACGATAAGCGCGCGTATGTGTTGTGGAGATTAAAAAATTGTTTTTCTTTGTTTTCTTACGAGTTTTGCAAAGGTTTGTACACTAACTTTTTATATTAGCAATTAGTTACTTATACATTAGTTTTGCTAGTTTAAATGAGTGTGATTTGTGATTACTGTTTTTATTTACATAGATACAATGTTTCAAGTCTCATCACTTGTTGTAAGTATTGATACACAGGGCAAAACGGATAAGGGTAAACCGGTTAGGCTATCCGTTTTACCCGTATGTGGTACTTTAATCTAGTTCATCTTAAATAAGCCTCATTTTAGTATATTATGCCCACTTCAGCTAAATTTATATTTAATTTATACCTAACTGGTACTTATATATTTTAGATTAACTTACAACTATTGATAACATATGAATAAAATATTTTACTTTATTTTAGATGGTGTTAAATACACACGTAAAAGTGATTGAGCAGCATGGTCAGCACTAGAGAGGGCAATGAAAGCTGTAAAAGATGACAAGCAGTCCATTAATTCAACAAGAAATTTGGTATTCCATTTACAACTTTGCAGAGACACGTTAAGTCTGGAAATAAATCGAAAAAATTGGGTATTTTTTAGTAAAGAACAAGAAGAGTTAAGCGCCTATCTTAAAAAATTAGATAGTTTTTGGGCTTTCCCGTTCAGATTTTTTAAAACTGGGTTTTAATTATGTCTCAAAAAATAATATTTCTCACCCATTTAAAAATGGAAAAGCTGGGGACAACCTGTTTTCGGGTTTCAAACGCCGACACAAAGAGATTGTACTAAGAGCGCCGAAGCCAACTTCGTTAGCAAGAACAAGAGGCTTCAACAAACCACAGGTGGAATTGTTTTATACTAACTATTGGAACCTGGTAGAAAAATACAACTTCGATGCAACAACAATATATAATATGGACGAGACAGGACTTAAGAGCAGGACAACAAAACCACCCAACATATTGTCTATCAAAGGTAAAAGACAAGTCAGAGTAATATGCAGCGCGGAAAGAGGCCAATTAACCACTGTCATATGCTGCTGTAATGCAGCTGGATGATGTTGCAAAACTATTTGGAGCAGCGTACGCCAAAAGTGTTTCGGTTCAGAACGCAGTCAACAGGTTTAAAAAATCAGGAATATTGCCCTATGACCCAAATGTGTTTGGAGAAGAAGATTACGCTCATTCGAGTATGACAGATCGTCTTTTGGCCAATGGCCCTTCATATGATTCTCCAGTAGTAAACTGGACTCTTCTTTCACCCGAAATTGCATCTGCTGTCCCTATAGATGCAATAACTGAATCTTTGGCACCCTACCAACGCACAACTATGACTGAGGTGTTTTCTGATGTTTTTTAACAGAGTTTACACACTTTTCACAGTTCAACCCGAACTTAAACGCAACTTAAAGCGAGATTAGCGAGATGAAAGAAAACACTTGTTCACGCTTATGATGGTATATTGCAACTACTCTGACATTACAGAGTGACATGCACATAGTGGACAAACACAGTAGTAACGACATATGACACTAGATGTCGCTACTTTGACCAATTTTAAATATATAACAGCTACAGTAAACTTTTGGTATACTTATTCACAACACTCCCACTTAACAAAAGTTTACTAATGGTTCTCTAAAACCTTTTAAAATATCTGTCATGCACAACTTAACTTAAACCTAAACCCTTTACAAACTTTGAATTCTTAACATTTTGTAATGGTTTCGTTAAAACATCTGCAACCATTTCGTTAGTAGGTGTATACATTAATTTCACTTTACCTTCTAACACAATATCTCGCAAGAAATGGTACCTTATATCTATGTGCTTTGACCTATCATGGAACATTGGATTGCTAGCAAGCTTCTGAGCACTTTGATTATCATTATGAATCTCAATACAATCCAATTTTCCAGTTAACTCGCTCAACAAATTCCTCAGATATATGGCCTCTTTTGCTGCCTCGCTTAGAGCCATATACTCTGCCTCAGTTGTCGACAAAGCAACAGTACGTTGTTTACAGCTTTTCCATGAAACTGAACCCCCTGAATATTTAAATACATAACCAGTAAATGACTTTCTGTCTTGCTTATTGGACCCCCAATCTGCATCTGCAAAACCTGTCAAATTTAAATTATCCTTAAAAAATTTCATAGACAAGCTCTTTGTACCCTTTAAATAACGAAGTAAACGCTTTGCAGATTGCCAATGAACTTTAGTGTATGAGTTATTATACTGACTTAATAAGCTCACAGCATGAGAAATGTCAGGTCTGGTCATTACCGAAAGGTACATTAAACTTCCAATAAGCTCTTGATATGGAACTTTTGGATCACAAATTTCACCACTGATATCGCTCAAGTTGATACTACTGTCAAGCGGAGTACTTACTACTTTGCTATCTGACATACCAAAACGACATAAAAGTTCATTAATATACAATTCTTGATCAATTGACAAACAATTTTTCGAATAATCCCTAGTAATTCTTATACCTAAACATTGTTTTGCCTCTCCTAAATTCTTAATTTTAAACTTTGAGTTTAAATGACCTTCAAGAAACTTCATTTCATTGTCATCAGACGAAAAACAGAAAAAATCGTCAACATAGAGAGCAACAATGGTTAACAAATTACTGTTATTCCTTTTAATGTACAAACAAGGCTCATATTTGGACTTAGAATAACCAATTTTTGACAAAACTTGGTCGACTTTTTCGTTCCAAGCACGACTAGATTGTTTTAATCCATAAACTGCTTTCTTCAATCTATACACTTTATTTTCTTTATCTTTAATGACAAAACCTTCAGGTTGCTGCATAAATACATTTTCTTTCAGAATACCATTCAAGAAAGCTGTTTTCACATCCAAGTGTAAAATTTTTAGATCTAGCCTAACAGACAAAGCAAGCAATAAACGAAAAGTTGAGTGCCTTACCACTGGGGCGAAGGTTTCAACATAGTCCACACCCTCTCTCTGTGTGAAACCTTTAGCCACAAGCCTAGCTCTATACCGGTTATGGCTTTCATTATCACTCTTCACTTTATATACCCACTTGCACTGCACCACTGTACCAACTTCTGGCGGATCTACTAATTCCCAAGTGTCATTATCGATAAATGACTGTATTTCTTCTGACATAGCTTCTTTCCACTTCTGCCCATCTGGCCTTGAAAGAGCCTCAGTCACTGATGTAGGGATACTCGAGTCATAGACTTCACCCTTGCTGTTAACACCTCCAAAATATGTCACAAAATCTTGAAAATTCTTCTTCTTGATCTGTCTTTGGGATCTTCTTGGAGTTACTTGTTCACCATTATCAAACAAGTCATGGCACTGACCTTCAGGCACATATTCATCATCATCCGAGAAGTATACATCATCTTCAGAAGATTCATCATCTGAATACATGGGATTCTGCTCTCCCACTGAATCTGGAACTTCCCTTTGCTTATCTGGAACACTATCCGGCAACACTGTACTTGGAATTTCCAAACTTGGTTTCTCTATGATTGTTACATCACGGCTTACTATGACTTTCCTTGTTCTGGGGTTAAAACACCTATATCCTTTGGTAGTTTCATCGTACCCAACAAGCACATGCTTCACTGACTTCTCGTCCCACTTGTTCCTACTGACCTTCGGAACATGAACCATGGCGGTACTCCCATATACCCTAAGATGACTAAGATTTGGTTTCTTACCTGTCCAAATCTCATATGGTGTCATTGAAAGCTTTGAACATGCTGAACGGTTTTTCAGGTAACAAGCAGTATTACACGCTTCCGCCCATAATGCCTTGGTCAAGCTCTCATCAAATAAAAGACACTTAGCCTTCTCCACAATGGTCCGGTTGAACCTCTCAGCCATCCCATTTTGCTGCGGAGTGTGACTGCTCGAAGTCTGGTGTATGATGCCTGAATTCTTTAAAAAACTATCCATTTCTCTATTACAGAATTCCCCACCATTATCGCTTCGCAAAATCTTAATCTTAACATTCTGTTGATTCTCAACTAATGATTTAAATTGCTTAAACTTATCAAAAGTTTCATCTTTTGTCTTCAGGAAATATATAAAGCACATTCTGCTGTAATCATCTATAAATGTCAGGAAATATTTAGCTCCACCAATAGATGTTGTTTCCATAGGACCACAAATGTCGCTATGAATGACCTCTAGCAGTTGCTGTGCTCGACTGCCTTCTTTGGGAAAAGGTAAACGGGCTTGCTTGCCCCTACAGCATACCTCACAACTCCCAATGCTTGTACCATTACAGATAAGACCATCAACCAACTTGGCTGTCTTATTCAGGTAGCTGTCATTAATGTGACCTAAACGTTGATGCCATAAATTGCTACTTACAGCTTGAAAACACACTGGCTCCTCACAAACGTTCAACTTGTAAACGTTGTTATGTAGACTAGCAGTAGCTACTGATACACCAACTTTATTGTAAATATTGCATCCCTCTTCATGAAAACTTACTCTATTTCCATTATTGATTAACTGGCCTACTGATAATAAGTTAGTTGTTAAACCAGGAATATACTGTACACCTTCTAGTAAAATCTTGTGCTGTTCATTGGTCATTGTTTTGATCTCAACATCACCTGCACATTCCACAACAACTTTCGATTTGTTAGCCATTACAATATCAGGTAAGTCAGGCTTTCTCCTGTTTTTTAACCACTGGCTATTGGCAGTTAAATGCTTGCTGGCACCACTATCAACATACCAATCTGTGACCTTAAAATCACCTGTTGTAAACACGGCACTAAATCCTCCTTCAAGTCTGTTATTGTTAGGGCATTTTGACATAAAATGTCCTGTCTTTTTGCACTTGTAACACACAATATTACTCAGATCCTTTTTATTATGTCCATTTCCAAAACCACTGTTTGAACTTGACCTCGATTGAACCCCGAAATCATCTGTGTTTGTTGACATTCCCGCTTGGCTAGCACCAGCTGATTTTCCTTTGAAATTCGTCCTACTAGCGCCACCTCGCGACTGTTTCCGAAAACTCGGTTTCTTGGCGGAGAATGCACCTGCACTTCCATTACCACTAGCGCCATCTGTCTGCATATCCAATAACTTGGTCTTTATTGAATCTGTGGTTATGCAGATTCCTGAGTGCTCGACGGCCATGATCATTGGTGCGTACTTGTCTGGAAGACCGGCCAGCAGCAATGATCCTACCCACTCCTCGTCTATTTTGAAACCTGTTCTGCGTAACTTTTGGGAAGTCTCAACAATCTGGTTTATGTACGACTCCATACTATCATGATTCTCTAATCTTGCCGATATGAGTGTACGTAAAAGTCCAATCTTTCGCATGAAACCACTGTCATCATATAAACGTTTGAGACTGGTCCATACTTCTTGTGCAGTCGTTAAATCTTTGACATGCGGGAACAAAGATGGATCGATGGTTAATACTAGCTTGGCCTTTGCTTTTGCTAGGGTCGTTGTGTCGGTCTCGGTACCTTCGATGCATTTGTTTAAGCCCTCTAGCACAAACACATTCTCGACGGCAAACGCCCATTCATCATAATTCTCACGGCCTAAAAGCCTTGGCACACTCGTCAGGTAGTTGACGGCCATATTTGTTCTGTGAGAAACACTTGCGTCACGACAGTTTCTTTCAACGTCTCGATTCACTAAAGTTTCGCTGCTGGGTGTCCTACTGTGGGTCTGGGCCCATAACCTGATGTTTTTTAACAGAGTTTACACACTTTTCACAGTTCAACCCGAACTTAAACGCAACTTAAAGCGAGATTAGCGAGATGAAAGAAAACACTTGTTCACGCTTATGATGGTATATTGCAACTACTCTGACATTACAGAGTGACATGCACATAGTGGACAAACACAGTAGTAACGACATATGACACTAGATGTCGCTACTTTGACCAATTTTAAATATATAACAGCTACAGTAAACTTTTGGTATACTTATTCACAACATTTTCTACATCTGTGCCTGCTTTCACCTTGTCCAATGATGTACCGGAGCAAGGATCAGCTAATTTAGAAAAAGCACATCCAAAATCTGCGAATCTTACACCATTGCAAATTAGACCCTTACCATCAGTTATGGCTACTCCTAAAACAGGTCGCAAACACAAAAGGCAAAAATCGGAGATGTTAACATCTACACCCGTCAAGGCAGATATAGCTATAAAATTTAAAAAGGTGAATAACAAGAAAACGAAAATGTCTTCTGAGTTTGCAGACTCCAGCAAAACAGGAGTCAGTGTAATCAGTTGAAAAGTTGGGCGCATGAGGACTGCACCGCCTATGAAGGAACTGGCAGCTATTTTTGCCATTAATGCCAAGATTGGTTTCTATTCCATTAGGATATCCTTCTTCTTTTTATTTTGAGTAAACGAATCGAAACAATGCATTTCTTTTAATAATATACCCCCGATGACAGACAACCTTTATCTATCAAAAGACTTTGATATAAACTCCCATTTGATTCAGGTGTTTATCAGGGTAGATAAAATGCTATGAAATCTGAGTCTAACTGGCTTCAACTAATAAAAATCGAAGATGATGATGTGCCCAAAGTGCGTTGAGCCCATAAGAACATTTTATTCAGTCATAGAAAAAAGTTTCCGAAAATTAAACCAGCTTCCTATTTATTGTATGCATGATCATTTGCTAGAGAAGATAATAAAATGTACATTACTTCACTTTTAAAACAAATCCATTTCGGCCGAACCGCTGATATCGAGGAAGTCATCATCATAGGAGTTGAGTTTCCCTCTCTTGTCCTCCATCTCATGCACCACGTGTTCTGCCAGCGACGCGGAAGGCGAGGCATCAACCCCATCGTTGCTGTTCTCATTGGCATCTGTCTCGGGAGTAGGGGGAGGATTGTTGAAACCGCTGTCGTTCTCATCGGTCTCCTTCAGGCGATGACTTGCGCCATCTTTTGCGGCGAAAAGGTCGCCACGGCTCAGTAGGTCCGGAAGGAGATTGGCCTTTGCAGCTTCTGAAAAAAAATGTCTATGCAGCTGATTACCTATTCCAAGCAGCTGGCTTCGATAAGATTGTATCGGTACTTCCCAGGCACCGATATAAATATAGGGTGTTTTAAAGTCGACCCTCAGCATTGGGATCTCGGAAACTGAGAAAGATACGAAGTCGCTTAAATGGGGGCAAAGTAGCGTATTCAGGTAATCAATAAAATATCGCAAAAAAAGTTTTAAAATCCAAAGTACTTCCGCAGAGAGACGGAAAAAAACGAAGTTTCCCAAAATCCCAAAATTTATTCCTGACTTTATTTGTAGTGGGATTTCAAAATAAATTGCACATTAGCATTGCCACATTTATCCTCTACAAGATGGCATAATTAGAATTTCAATATAACGTTTCGCCTCTTCTACAGCATCAAATTTATTTTTTCTTATGGTGCCATAATGGATTTTTGCACAGATCAATAGAGTAATTCTGATTCCAAAATTGTATAATACGTCATACATTGACTTTGTTTTAGTTTCAGAGACTCCTGTAATTTGAGGTATGTAACTATTAGACATTTCTCATGATTTTACATAATATGTAACTATTTGTCATATTTCTCCCATAGATTTTTTCCGTAAATTTGTCCTTAAGAGAGAATGATGAATTAATAAATATCCGCGTGGAGCCAGAATTTTGTTTCGGTGGTATCCGCCGAGTAAGCGCAACGAAGATAAATATAAACATATCGCGACCTGGCTGCAGCTGATTTAGTCATTGCAACTGTGATTAGATCGCAATGTTGAAAAATGGAAGGGGACTAGGGACTAATTGTATGGCCATATTTTAATTATGTGAGCCATTTAATTACCTTGTTATATATGTTCGTAGTTACCTTTTCTTGACGCCATTTTTTCATTTTCAACTTGGAAACATTTCATGACTTTAGTATACTTTGCTTGTCAGTTGGCGCGAGAATGAAAAATCGAATGAGCTACATATCCTTCCAAAACTTCACGGATGCTTACTGCCCATGCCAATATAAATGGGAACCATTTATATAAAAATCGAAAGACGTATACATTTTGTGAACCTATTGAAATTATGGACAAGGAAACTTAAACATTTCATTGCTAATAGCTTTCCATATCAGCACAATTGGTTTTCTGAAACTCACCATTTTGCATCTTGACTTTTTTCAGCATTTCTTTTTGCCTCTCTTTGGCTGCACGGTTATTTTTCTTCCTATCTTCTCCAAAAATATTACGTTTCTGCTCTGGAGTAATGTGGTAGTCATTTCTGACCAAATATAAGAAAACACCACCTGGAGTTCTTCTTCTTGTTTGGTTCTAAAATGCAGAAAACAAAGAGTAAATATTTATTAAAAATAAAATGTCGTCTTTTATCCATTTGAGCAAATAGATGGAACAAGCTATTTAGTGCATGAGTATTCTAAAATTGTATATTGTACTGTCAATTAAGAGGCAGAGTGAAACAAGTATCCAGAAAAATAATGTAACTTTAGCAATAGCTCATACGTGTATCAACCAAAGCTGTTAAAGTTATCATTTGATATGATTGATCAAAGCCAACTGCCTCAAGCTCCTCTGTTATTGGTAAGTAATGAGTGTCATGTTATTGTCCAATCAATTTTTTCTATCTAATTCCTCTTAATTAAGGTCACTTAAATGACAATGATTTCAATTAACATTTTACGAATATCGCATAAAAGCTAGTAGATGGCATACCAAAAACCCATTGCCTTCAAAGTGAAACTAAATAAATAAATTCTTTGAAAAATAGTAAAAGCACTGCAACACCAAAATAAGAAAAACGATTATGAATAACAAAAAGATGTTAATGATGCAAAAAGCTTAACAATGAGGTAATATAAATGATATTGATAAATACACAGGTTGGTGTTTTTAGCAGGTATAGATAATGATTTACTTTGGTGTAACTGAAGACTCCAATAGAAGAACTTAAGTCTAGCTTTTGATTAAATTGAGCTACCAATCTGTACATTCTACATTGTGTATGGGAAAAGCAAATCTACCCTTTTCCAGTCACATCCTTCTCTACTTTTTGGGAGTAAACAACTAATTTTCTCCTATTCTCAACAGGTAATACCACTGTAATGGCTAAACGTATTTTTTTAATAGATCAATCAAGTTGATTATTATCCAAGAGGAGTGAGACTCGTTAAAAGCAGAAATGGCACTAATACATATATGCTATATTAAATTTTGCAATGTTTAGCTGGAATCTGTGAAATCACTAGATGAACAATTTCCAACAAAAAATGAAGGAACATCTTGTAATGGTCTTTGCATTACAAGAGTACTTGGATCATAAATTTTCAATGTTCCTTTTGATCAATGTCAAGTAAGGCACACACAAATTAAATCAATTTATTGTCAACTTGCATCATGTAATGACTTAGGGGCTATGTGTCTACATAATCTACCCATATAGCAAAAATGCCTTACCATAATAAGCATGCCACCATCTTCTTCAATCTTCTTAGTTTCCTTGAAGATCTCAAATGTCCTCTTCTTACCAAGGTTTTGAACAACTTTTACTATAAAAAGAAATATTAACATACAACTGGCCTCATTTGATACTGTAATTTTATAGAATAATTTCAAGTACTGGTTAAATACGTAGTATTATAGTAAAACTTGATAGAACTTATGACACCAACAAAAATTTTAGCAACAATTGACAAAAACAAATTTCACTAACTGTAATGAAATATTAAAAGACTACTGGAGTAAATTTGAAATTTTAACTTACATTATTTTGTAAAAGTAGCTGTAAAAACTATAGTCTTGAAGTTAAGGAAAAGATGCTAATGATGTAAAAAGATTAACAATGAGGTAATGTAAATAATATTAATAAATATTAATTGACGTTTTAACATGTATGATCCACTTTGGTGTAATTAAAGACTCCAATAGAAGAATGTAAATCTAGCTTTTGATTGAATTGAGCTACCAATTTGTACATTTTGCATCATGTATGGAAAAAGCAAATCTACTATTTTCCAGCAACATGCTTCTCTACTCTTTGAGAGTAAACAAGCAATTTTCTTCTATTCTTAAGGGGGTAACACCACTGTGATGGCCAAAAGTATTTTGTCCATTTTTTTTTGTAGTAATAATAATATTAGAGGAAGTTATTGAGCATATATTCATGCAACAAAACAAAAATTATCATAAATATTAAGAAATGGCAGTACTGCAGTGTTTATCTCAAAACACTATTTTTCGAAATAGCATGCAGCATAACTCAAAAAACTGTCATTCTTTTCAAGTTTTTTACAATATCTTTTGAAAATAAATATGTAGGGTATCATTGATACAATAATTTAAAGATTATTTATTAACAAATGATAACCTTTTTCAATTGTAAATTGAATGTTTTAATTAAAACACTCACCAACCACACAAAATCATTATTTTTAAAATATTCTTTTAGCTATAAATACAAAAAATTGTTTTTTATGCTAAAAAAACAAAGAAATCAGTTTTTGAAGCTGTTATGTGGTGTTGTATCTGCTTTTATTGAATGATAATGTATTGTATCATGAGCTGATACAATTTGAACACCAGTCATTTGTCAGACAGCTTTTTCTATTTTTTTTTTATTTTGACTTGTGTTAGCATATTGGTGTACTTAACACAAATAAAGAATTGAAGCCTCCTAAAAAATTATTTTGATGGGTATAAGTGTTTCTTGCAGTAGTGTACAATTTTTATAAATTTTTTAATAATACAGGACACTCACATATCAAGTCTTCTTTCTCTTCATATAACTTATTTCCTATATCCTTTGCAATTTCATCTGGACTATCATCTGTGCCAACAGCCAAGTCCAAGATAATCCTTGGCTTCCCTTTCTTTTTCTCTTTATCTGAACTGCTAGATCTCCTTCTTTGTCTAAAATGGGAATTTCTCCTATCATCTACAGTCCTCTTATTACCTCTCCTTTGATCAACAAATGGTTTTGACTCTGGTTTATCTTTATTATAAAGCTTATAAGCTAATGTATAGTCATATGACTCTACATTTCTTGATCTGTCCTTAGAAGTTACATCACAGGAATTTAATGTTTCCGCTAGAAAATCTTCTTGCACTCGTGTGCTCCAAACATCATACTTTTTCTCTTTAGGGGCAGTTGTTCTACGTGATTTAGGTTTTAGCTTAATCTTGGGTCTTTTCTTTTGTTTTAAACTAGGTTCAGAGTCACTGTCAGTATCACTGGACTGTGGTTCTTCTTCACTTTCAGATTGGTAGTCATTTCTCGGGAATCTAGGGGTGGGTTGCATTGCTGAATAATTTGCAGGCCTTTCTAGGGGAACATATTTTGGTTCGTCAGGGTCTGAATCGTTAGATATCTAAAAAACGGATTGGTTAGGTGTGCCAGTTTATGCATATATAGGAAAGTAATACTTCTCCTTCCTCCAACGACGCCTCATCTTGCTCCATTGTTTCTTGTGCGTAATTCCCAAAAATACAGAAAAGCCAAACAGTTTCATAAAAGTTTTTCCAACAAATGTCCAAATTTTAACCTTAATCGCGTATGACTTGACATTTGGTTTTTGACATTGCCATTTATTGACAGCGGGCCAAATTGCCCCTATTGTATTTCAGAATGTGTCAGGCCGGCATCCCAGAGCCCTCATTTGAGAGGTAAAACTACAAAACTCACCACTGTTCCAGAATCTACGAGTTACCGCTAACCCCTAAATATCTCCTATCCTGCACAGCTTCTATCGGAGGATCCGAAGTTTTGCCTTTTGCATATGTTCTTCTTAAGTCTCGTGATAAATCGTAAGGCCTGGCAACACCTATTTTACGATTTATCCAAACGGGTACTTTCTAATCCCCACTCTTGCACTGATTTTAAAATACCAAAATAACAAACGGTTTTTTGCACTTTTAAAACCCTAGAGTTTTGTATGATGTTTAGTGTTGGTTCTATCGATCAGTAAGTATATATTTTGATTTTTATGCTGCATTCAGTATACTACAAGCATCGTTCTTTTGATATGTTTAATTTTTCATAATGTCAAATTAACATTTCCAGTAATTGTCAAAGCATCTCTTTAGTATCCCTGACAACCCCCGTTGAACTCTTGTTTTTGAAAATTAGTCAGTAATCGTTTAGTGCAAAAAAGTGGCTCTCATTTAAAAAACAAACCTTGAATTGTTGCATTTCAAAGGAATATTTCCTCAATTCATGTACATATTTTTTTACAGAACTACATTAAATATGCCTGACAAGAAAATTTTGAAAACTTTGGATCAGCTAAAGCACAGAGAATTAACATTAAGACTACGAGAAGAAATTCTTAATCAACGAGAGCAAAAGCTGGCAGAACTTGAAATGAAAATTACATTGAGGGCAAAAATGATGGAAGAAATGTATCATCAAGCTGAGATTTACCTGAAGCATTGCCACCAGTATTACAAAAAGCAGCAGCAAGTAATGGTATATACCATTTTTTAAGCTTTAATAATAGTTAAAACTACTCAATACTCTATATGTACTGCATAAGTAATTCATCTGAAAACATGTTATCGGTTCAAAAAGAGATCTCATAACATATACTAAAGCTGGGCAACTATTAAAATCAGCTTTGTTGGAAAAGCACAGATATAAATACAAAACGCATCTGATTTATCTACATGATATTTGAAAATGTGTTAACTGAATATTTTTTTATAACAGAATAGGAAAACAAAACCTAAGCCATCATATGAAGACTTGGACGCAACATATGTGAGCTGTGGTGATTCAGTAGTGCAAGAAACTGCTACCACCAGTAAGAAACTGGATGTGGGTAGTATTATGAAGCCACAGAACTTCACCAGGACACTTTCAGAAAGGAGGATCAGGTTCAAAGGCCACAGTCCACTGAAAGAACTAGACTTTAATAGAAAAAAATTGGCACCAACTGGAAAGGTATTATACAAATTATCAAAGAAAAATTATGGTAGAAAATTATTATTTATTACTTTTGTAGTAGAAGTGGTGATAGGCAAGCGAGGCCTGGCAACCCCATTGTAGCATTACTTCTGAAAATCATTCTCCTCAGGAGACAAAATAAACCTTCAGGTTCAAGCAAAATAAGAAGTGAAATTGATGTAGTTAGTATAGTTTCTGGTGATTTTCATTCTAAATTCCACTGTCATCAAGATAATAGTATTTAGAGAGGTGCCACTAAAATCTCTTTTATCATATTGACACAGATCTGGCTTAAGTTTCATACTATATTATTTTTTTTTATACTCCAACTACCACGAAGGCCTAAGGCCTAAACACCCATTGGGTACCGTGCGGCTATAGGGGGATACAGGGGAAAGGGGTGGGGGGCGCCACACGGACTCTGGCGAGGGAACACGTGTGCATGCAACATGCACACATTCTGGCTCCGCCTATGAGATCCGCCGGGTGGTACCTCCGCGTTCGACAGTCAGAGACCGTCTACCACCTACGGACAATCACAACATCCATAGCCAAGAGAAAAATTTCTCCTGGAACGGGACTCGAACCCGCACAGCGCACGGTGACTGATCAGCAGTTAAGGAAACCATAGTTCGGTATTACCTTTAGAACATCCTTACCTGAGGAACGTTACGCTTGCGATTTCTTGGTATCCATAACGCAACGCGCATGATCAGGGCACAAGACACTATGTTTGTTTGCACTCACACACAAAGTAACGAAATTGTACGAAAAAGAAATATGTCGAGAAAACACCGGCGAAGTTGTGCGGAACATAAACTCATGTCCCTTGAACAGATTTGTATGTTAAGAATCTTTGACTGATCCTGTCACCAAAGACAATATGGCATACCAATATAGCGATTTTCACCTATAGATAGAAGTACCTTATTCGTAGTCCATTATGCCCCAGCCCAACAAAGATGCAGCGCGGCAAAGCGGCAGCCGCCTAAGCGTTGCAATAGCTATTGGTCATTCGACCATAAAACAAGTGCAGGATTCGACAGGATACAACTCAGGCTCGGGGTATCGCCGGCACGCCGACGCTGGCAGGTGCAATTCATGTTCGGTGCCTACATAGCGTGTGTTTATAAATACGGATACAGCAGATGAAACTGAGAATAATTCTCCCAATGCTTCCTCTTCAGTGATGTCTCCTCCGCGGAAACGTGACAAGAAGGGACATTTGAATATTCAGGCAAAAGAAATTGTGCTTAACGTTTATAAGAGCTAAATGTTAGAGCATCCTGCATTGAACTTTCAACATTGTTAAAAAGAAAAAATTGTCTCCACCATACAAGAGGCTGCATTACATGGAGCTGTTGGATACAGTTGATAACTTTGATCGGAATGCCATCCGTCGCAAAGTCCATCCATTTTTTGAAAGGAAGGATCTTCCCGCCATAGACAAAGTATTAAAGGAGGTTAATAGTGATGACTTATCTACTTTCAAAAGGTCCACATTCTATCGTTTACTCACAGAACTTCATTTTGTGTATAGAGAACGGACAGAAATAGTATTTTGAAGGACAGCCAAGAGATTACTTTATGGAGAAGAAATTATTTAAAATCAATAAAGAAATACCGCCATCAAGGCAGAAAGATTTATTACTTAGATGAAACCTGGATAAATGCAGGACATACAAAACCTAAAGTATGGGCTGACTCTACAATTACAAGCCTTCTTAGACGGACTAACCACTGACCTAAAGAATCCGTCAGGTACGTGTATCTAACCCGTTCGTCATTGGTGTTGTAAAAATGGTGTTTCATGAAGCTGTCAACAGAGTGACGGCAAAACATTGGAAAGATTGCATCCGTCACGTTCAAGAGACAATCGAAACAAAGATGTAGGATCTGGATAATATGATCAATATTCAAATTGAACCTGTAATAAGTAATATTAACCATTAGGATGATAGTACTTCCAGAATAAAGAATTGTGAAAAGTGTGTGCACTTCTTTCTATAAAAATAATCATTTATTTTGTAAGATTATTCCAAGACCATTGAGGAAAATACGGACCTGCACAATCTCGCTTTTGGGCACGTTGTGTTTTGTCTGGGCGTAAATGGATTACGAATGGGGTATAGTGTTACCATTTACACTGCCTGTGATGCTGGAGATGTTCAATATTAGCGGTAAAATACACGTTTTATAACTTCATGGATTTCTAATTCCAGCTTCCTCGTAAATCGCCTAATAAGGTGTCAAAAGCTTTAGGTAGCGGTACAAGTGAAGGATGGGTGACATGTTCGGAAGAGGGAATTGAATATGTTGGGGATGGTAGCAGACAAAAGGGAGATGAAACAATGGGAAGCAAAGCGAGCAATACGCGACGATCGATCATCTGGACACAGGAAGGCACACGGAGAGCCTTCCAACTACTTAAGATCATGAACAACATGCAAAAGGAAAATGTTCAACCCCGATCAAGGTCAACCAGTCTCAAACATACTCAGTTGTGACTGAGAAGGTCTTAAAATTTTAAATATTTTAGATACCACAGAAAAAGAATCTGGGTGTGTATGTTGTGAGGAGTTTTACTATAAAGTAATATACGCAGGAAACCAAATTTGTCTGCCGGCTTGAGTTCAATGTGTACGAGAGAGAGAGAAGTGCATAGACACAAACATATGTTAGAAAGAGATACAAAACGGCTGGATAGAGTTGCCTACCAATCAATCAATCTGCCGCGTTCCCAATATGTTATACCAGTTCCTTGAATTAAGATGCATCTTGAAAATATGCGTTAGTTTATTCTCTACGACCAAATAATGGTTTTATTTTGAGCGTACACATTTTTGAATCGTGTCCGGATCGGTAGTAACGGCGCTTCATTTTGGGTTGAAATGAAAGGCAAGATCGCTACAAATTTTGCTTCGCTTGGCAATACCGCATCTCGTACATTTTGAAGCAAGATTTCGAAAGGTTTCCCCTGCGTACACGCAGGGATGAGAAAATTTGTATTAATGGTATTTTTTATATTGTATCACCATCAGTGGAAATGAAAGATAAAATAATTAAAACACTAAGTCGCATCAAAATTGAAATAAATAACTAATCAAAATAAAAACGAAATATTAAATTAATCGTTCGAATCTCTTTGGGTTCGACAGCAACCTAACCTATTAATGAGCCTGGGCGAACATTTTCTGGTGTAATATATTGGCAACGCGGCAGATTGCACGACCTTCCGCGTCACCGTTGCTAGGCAATGTGGGGATGACATTCGCTCTTCAGCAGGCTTCTATCTCTTTCTAACATGTGTTGATACACACTTCTCGCGCTTCTCTCTCGTACACATTGAACTCAAGCCGTGAGAAAAATTTGGTTTTCGCTGTGTATATGAAAGCAATGCATTTTATAAGATATATAGCTTTACATAAAATGATGTGTTTAATAAGGTTACTGCTGATTCAAGAATATAATAATAAAAGTGATATTTTTATATTTACATTTTTATGCATACATTTTGTTGTTTTAGTGTGCAATATTGATTATACAATGATGAATTTATTTAGTTGATAGTTCCTATCCTATATGTTTCCACTAGAAATAAGGTTGTGTGCCATTGTAAAATAAAAATATACAAATAATACCGTTTCAGGTATTACTTGTATATTTTTATGGTTAACAGTATTATTTTTTACGCATAAGCAAATATTTTTATAAAATCTTATTTTATATATCTATACCTCAAAGCCAGACTACTTTTTACCTCAAAAGAGTTTTAAACGACATGTTGAGTCCATGATAATATTTTGAATATTCATTTTGTGTGGCTCAACATGAATTTATTAAGTCCCTTATTATTACAGGTAGGCGGATGCTGCAAGTAGCAAATGAAAATGCATAATATCATCATGAACCTGACATATAAAACTCATTTACACCCTATTTCACTAGTAGCAAGTGACATTTTGGTGTTAGTCTGCGACATTGGCAATAATGAATCGGGTGTAAATCTAGTAAAACTTGTTTGTAGCGTTTTGTTTTTTGTATTCAAATGAACTTTTCTAAATGAAAGAGCTGTTAGCAAGCACAAAATGAATATGTAGCGCACAAAAAATACGGTTCTGTCCACAGATCTGACTTTGACGGGTCCCTCAGAATTTTGTGTCCTATGCCGATATGGGGAATTTTGAAATATTACTAGATAATCAGCTGTCATTCTGCCGTTATTTGATACTCGCGAAAAAGACTATACAAATATATTCAATACGTTTTGTGCGTTATGACGTCCACTTGACGTCTATACCCTATTTCAGTATTTCACGAGTATCCAACACGCTTTGAAGCCCATTGAGGTGAACAGCTTATCCGCAAGTGACATTTTTGTGTCTCCGCAAGTGACATTTTTGTGTCTCCGCAAGTGACATTTTTGTGTCTGCAACGTTTGCAATAATGACGGGTATAAATCTAGTAAAACTTGTTTGTGGCGTTTTGTTTTTTGTATGCGAACAAAATACAGCTTTGACTACCTATAATATTACTAGATAATCAGCTGTCATTATACCGTGATGGATACTCTCGTGAAATATGGTATATAGGTCTTGATAGTCTGGCTATGAGATGCAGAGTGTGAGGTTATCGTGTATACGCATATTATTAAATAAAAGCTACTCTTTACATTTTGCTTTTTTATAAATTCGTTATTTAAAAAAAAACAACTGGTGTTCACCAAAAATGGGTTAAAGCAAAATAGGGAAATTAGTGATACTGTATTTTAAGTCATCAGTTTGTGACTTGAATTCAATTTAATAGTTAGGTGGAATAAAGACAATATTTCGAATATTGGAGAATTACACTTAATATTCAAATATGATTTCACTGCTCAAATTCAAAAATGCAATCCAATCAACTAACTTCTAAAACCACCAGATGTCGTTAGGCTCAGCTCCTCAGCTGGTTGCTGCTTGATCCCTTGTTTGACAGTTAATTTTATTTTGAGGTTATGTAAATGTGTTTAAAATATTTTCGTTTTTTAAAATCACCCACCCTAATAATTTATTTCATGCAGACAGAATAGTAAGTGGATCAGAAAAGCATAAAATGACTTGGGGCAATATAGTAAGAAAATTAACTACGGCAGCAGTACCTCCAGAACAAGGTTTCCGAAGTGTGTTCAAAACTGTGGACAAGGATCTTGTTCGGTGGTTCCCTGGTCATATGGACAGAGGTCTCAAGCAGATGCAGCACAAGCTCAGGTCTGTTGACTGCGTCATTGAGGTGTGTAATACTATCACAAAAGACATTTTCATAAAACAAATCCGTTCAACAATGCTCCTGCATTTCCTAGGTACATGATGCCCGGATCCCTATGTCAGGACGCAACACTGACTTCAAGTACACAATCAGTGGTGGTATGAAGCCACATATTCTAGTATTAAACAAGGCTGACCTTATTGAGAAAGATATGCATGACCCTATCAGGAAGAGATTGCAAGATGAATTCCAACATATAATCTTCACCAACTGTAAGGTGCAAAAATGTAGTGGAGTATCTGCTATCTTTCCCCTTGCACAGGAGCTGATTAGCAAATCAGAGAGGTTTAATAGACAAGAGGCAGAGGACTTCAATATGATGATCATTGGAGTGCCTAATGTAGGAAAATCTTCATTGATCAACAGACTCAGAGTAAGGTACAGTATTTTTTCAAAACAGACATCTGATATTTCAAAATTTTTCAGAAATATTTAATTTGGAGCCTCTTTGTTCTATTGGGCACTGTGGAATGTGCTCCTTGCACCCTCAGGGTAAAGGCAGAATAGGATATGCTATAATCATTCCTAAGGGTCTACAGTACCCCTACCTATTCTTATTTAAGGATATATCCACAGTTTCATTATAACTCAATTATTTTTCGAAATACAAAATAAGAAATTTGCTTGAAATATAAACAAAAAAAAAATTGCAATATGGTAGGTCAATGCACAAGATAAATATATTCAATTTTCTTGAAATAAAAAATTGGGAAAAATATTTAAATCTCTGTAGATAACCCTTTTTTAATTTTACATAGAAAGAGAAGTATTTCCTCACATATTTCCAAATTTTTTGTTTTTATCTCAAAAAAAGTTATTCAGCAAATGAGGACTGTTTTCCATAGAATATGTATTTTTTAAAAACTGTCTTTCCATTAAGCCCTTATCTTGCATATACCAAACTGGTTCATATCTTAGAAAATAAAGGAGTTAATGTGAAACTATGGCATATGTATTCACATTGCAATAGTTACTGGTACCATAGAGCCTTAAACAAAACTTTCGAAGCATATTCGGTTCAATTGAGCATTTTTGGTTACATCATGACAGAATAACTAAGTGCCATATTGTCAGTTGTTCCTACAATTGTAGGATGCCTTTATGGTTTCGTTGATTGTCATAGTCTTTTTCTCCTTCAAAAATTTCTAGATTGCACCTGTTCCATGTCAGCCACAACAGCGCTCTCCTATTGTGAAGTTACGTTTTCTTTTTGAATTGTTGGAAATTTCAGGCTGATAAAATATGATATAAACCAAAAGCATGAACAATTTGATGCTGATAGATATTTGACATAACCTCAAAATAGAGCGCTGATATGGAAAAGTAGAAAATCAATGAGGCCATAAAGGCTTCCTACAATTGTAGGAACGACTGACAATACGGACCTTAGATATGGTTCAGACAAAACTAATAAAACGATAACGAAAATATTTCAAGTTATTTTATTCTTTGAAGGTACTTAAACAAAGGCAATGCAAGTCCAGTTGGTGCTGCCCCAGGTATAACACGATCAGTAATGAACAAAATCAAGATGTGTGAAAAACCATTATTCTACTTGGTTGACACTCCAGGCATCCTTACACCCAAAATAGCTGATGCGGAAACAGGATTGAAACTAGCACTTTGTGCCACATTAAAGGTCAGAACCTGTCAAACCATGTATAAAACAGGAATCAACCAAAACCATCTAGCTTCTAATAATACTGTTTATTCGTCAGATACAATTTTATTCTGACTTGTCAACATCAAAGTTAAATAATATATTTATCACAATTTGATTAAATAAGTGAAATCTTCATTCTTCATTGAATTCAAAAGCAGAAAGCTTAATCTTAATAAATAAAAACATATAATAGACAATCACACTACTTAAATATAGTTCAAAAAAATGTTTTGGAATACACTTAGCCTTAAGTACACCTGAGGAATGTTTTGACAACTTCTTGCACCATAGTGATGTATTTCTTGCATATTGTTCTTCTTCTTATTTTGTGTTTATTATCAGCAGGTATACATAGAGGCAAGGTAAAGTTAAAATACGCAATCCTCAAGGAATGTCTATAAATCTGATCCTTAGAAAAACCACTTTCCAATGACGGTTCTTAATATTCTGTAATGTCTGAAATGAAGTGGTACGTCGAAAATCGTCAGCGATCCTGACTACGCGAGTGGTTTAGGGTCAATCTCCTTGTCGCCATACTTTAAATTCCATATTTGGAGAAATATGCCTAAAGATCAGGACACCGCGGCTGCTATGAGGATCCCAAAGAAATTCAGTTAATACGATTTTTGAACTGATTAAAGTTAGTAGAACTGGGAAAAGCAACCTCTTGTAGATTTTTCCATAATCTCGATACCCCCGAGGCAAATAAGCGGTCGTATCGGCCAGTTCTGGATGTATGAAGTTCGACACGGTTAGGATGGGAGGCCAAAGTCGGGTCTGACTGACAGGCACATCGCGCGGTGACATCATGGAGGAGAGCTCTGAGGAGCAAAGCCCGTTGGTGTAGCGGTAGAAGAGAGCTAGATCGCCGACGGGCCGCTGGTGCGAAAGGGTCCTCGAGACTGTATATTAGAGAAGAATCATCGAGTATAAATAATGTATTAGGGGCGGCAGTTCCCCAAACATGCGTACTTCTTAGCCCTAGGCAAATAGCATAGCTTTTTTCCAGCAGCTGTCGCTATTAACGTGATGTGTTCGTGGCAGATCAAGTCATCGGTGATCTGGACTCCGACCAGCCCATAACGAACGGCTCTTTGGTAAACTGTTCAAGATTGTTACGTCCCCGAGCAGTGATAACCTCCAGGTATCTCGTCAGAGAGGAAGTCGCTACCAGTCTTCTTTTTTCCAGCTCACCGGCAGAGATTGGCTTGTTGCTCTGAACTCCTGCATGTAGTGTGCTGTCATCAGCAAAGCTGTAGATTGGATTGATCGTACCGGAAAGGAGGTTGTTGGTATGTAAGAAGGAGAGTGTCGGAGCCAAGACCGTTCCCTAAAGAACCCCGCGTTGACGTTGCGGGATGAAAAGTAGAACACATCAATTACGACGGATATCTTGCGGCCAGAGAGAAATTAACAACTCATCTGCAAAGCGTCTCTGGGAGGCCATAGGATGGAGTTTGCATAAGAGGGCAGTGTGCCACAGCTGATCAAACGCTTTCGTGATATCAGGAACAACGACATGAGCCTCATCATAAGACGAGATGAGTTGACTCACTTAAATTCCTTTTTTTGGGGTAGGTTAGATATGAGCAAATTTCCAGTTGTCTGGAAAGTTGCCGGATTCGTAAGATATCTGGAAGAGACGCGACAGAACTGGAGCAAGCTCCGCTGCACGCCTCTTCAAGACAATGGCAGGAATCAAGTCCTGATTTATGCCTGAATGTTTAAGGAAGCCTTTGAATCGACGGCGCTCGCGTTCGAGTCTGTGGTGGAGTTGGTGGCAAAGATCTTGGCAAGCACTTCCGCCTTAGCCTTTGAGTCGGTTACAGTCGTTCCATCCTGACACGTAAGTGGTGGAAGGATACTCTGTGAGAAGTTCCTTCCAATCTGTTTAGTCAGCGTGCAGAAAGATCGACTTCCATTGCGCTGCGACATTACCCTGTGCCTATCTTTTATATCTGCAATTTTGTTGGGATTTTCGAAACCGACCTAAACATATTCTAAAGTCAGTCCGCTTAAATGCCTATTGATTTCAGGACCATCTGGTAGGAGAAGAGCTGTTAGCCGACTACCTTCTTTACTGGATGAATAAAAATGGCAAACACTCCCAATACATCCGCTATTTCAACATGCCTAAACCAGAGGACAATATCCTGAATGTGCTGACACATATTAGCAAACTGCACAACAAAACTTTGAGAATCAGAGACTATACAAATAGCTACATCATCCGACCTAACTTCAAAGAGGCTGCGACGATTATGCTGAAGGCATTTAGAGACGGGGAATTAGGAAAGTTGATGCTTGATGAAGATATACTGTGATATGAATATGTTTTAGTCGTTTTTGTTAAGATAAATAAATAAAATAGAAAAAATCTATATTTCTAATTATAATCACAGTACAGCTCTTGCAACAGTTACAAGAAATATACATGAGATATAAAGATAAACAGCATTATGGAAAAAAGTGCAGGTATTCAGTCTCTGTCTAGTATTTTACACTATATGGCTCTATATTAACTAAGTGGTTTCTGACCTCCCATTTGAAAAAGTTCTTATTGTAAAATCAATTTTATTGTGTTTGGCAGGCAGACAAATTTCAGACATGCATAATATTGAGTCTTGTCAGTTAAAGTTAGTCTACTATATGATTGGTATAATTTATATTTAAATTTCTTATGTTGTAGGCCAAACATATATCTGTTCTTAAAAAAGGAAATCAAACATTCATATAAGTATAGTCCATACACTGTCAAGAGGCGATTGAATCTAAAATTCCCATTACTCCATATTCTTAGACAGTCTAAGCACCCGTTTTTGTATAACAAAAATCCATTTTGTTATCCAAGTATCTAACCTTGTGTCTATGGAAACTTTTAATCAGGAATGTAGAACATAGCGGAGCTGGCAGCCCAAAGCATGAATTAAAGTGAGAACTTCAAAAAAGAAGTTGGAAAATGGGGAGAAATATTTAGTTTGTACATAAAAAAGTCACTTAATTTTCTGACAAATTGAATATCATATTGCTCAATTTAAACGGATGATATACTGTTATATTGACGTAAGCAAAAATAATCATTTATAGGTATGCACATATTACAATCAGGTGCAAACAATGCATAAAAGAAACATACAAATATAACCAATTCTTGTGAATACGGGCGATCTAATGTTAAAAAGTTGAAATTTGATATAATTATAGATGACTATTTTTTACACAATAGTTGATCATCAGACCATAAGACTATAGTCAACGCCAAACAAAGTGGCGTGCACGTCATCAAGGTGGGTGTGTTGAAAAATTTACATTGTTGCCAAACTTTTTGTAAAATAATAAAATTTATTATTTATATATCTAGGTTTATAAGCAATATTAACCTCAAGTGAGAACAAAAATAATAGTATAATAAAATTATAGATCTGTACTTGCATAATCATTAAGTATGACAATTATTGATCAGATGACACTATGAAACTACCATATTTAATTGATAGCTTAAAGGTACTGAATAAAAATCCAAATGGGGTCCTCCAAATTTTATGCATGGTATTTATTTTACAGAATTCATACAGAAAAATGCATTCTAAAATTAGGTAAGCTACTGGTGTAAGCTTTTTCTGTACAATAAAGTTAGTCGGAGTTTCTTTCTTCAGCGCTGTCTGAATCTGAATCTTCATCACTCTCAAAGTTGATTATTAAAGGTTCGATGTCTGGTCGATCAAAAATTCGTTCTCTTTCATACCATTTAAAAATTTCTTGCTCAGTATGCCGAACACTATTTTTCCACATGTCTGGGGTAACCGTTTGTAGAGCCTCGTTCCACATATCCAAACAGTCTTTTTCACTGTCACCATCTCTACCAATATGTCTGTTATAGTAACCTTTTGCTATGCCCCAAATTAACTCAATAGGGTTAAATATACAATGGTAAGGAGGCAGACGAAGAACTTTGTGCCCATGTTGTTCCGCCAATTCATCAATCACATATATTTTAGGTGGTTTGTTTCTAAAAAAGCAGTTATTTTAAGAATAGGAATAAACAAAAGAAATATAAACTGTCGACCAAAATATATATAATTAAGAAGCATTATGTACCGAGCAACAATACTCAATAGCTCTGTTTTAAACATTGTGTTTAAAAATGGTATGTTTTGATTTGTCAACCAGTCTTGGATATTTTTTTTTGTCCATGCATTGTTGGGCACTTTGTTCAATATCATGCTGTGATAAGGGGCGTTATCCAGTATAATCATAGATGGACTCTCCAATTTTTCTAATAACTGATGTTGAAACCATTTCAAAAAATTGTCCTGGTTCATCTCTCCATGGTAATCGCTCAATTTTGTTTTCGAAGAAAATATCGCTTCACTACCCTCAATAAACCCATTTTCATTTCGAGCATGTAATATAATGTATCTAAAATATATTAGTTTTAAATTTTATAGTGCAAATTGTGTAAAAGTACATACCTTTTACCATCTGTTTTAATAGCTTTCACGCTTTTTTGGTTTCCATTTTGCCAAGAGCGACCTATGGTCCCATTTTGAAATATCCAAGTTTCATCGAGGAAGACAAACTGGTATAAGGCCTCAACCTTGGCTTGATTGTATTGCCTTAGAAATTCCACCCTTTTCAAAGCTATACTTGGTAGTTCCATGGGCCCTCGTCGCGGATTGTCCTTAAGCCACTTAAATCCAAGATCTCTAAGCAACCGCCTTAAAGACGTGGCACTACCATCAAATAATGCCCTATCTCTTAATCGAGACCATAAAGTTTGTATCGTAACTTGTTCTTCTGAAACCATGTGTAATATGACATTATAATTTAGTTAACAAATTAATGCAAATTTCTGATAAGTTATTATAATAAGATCTTACTTACTTTTGTGATACATATTATAGATCACTTCTCGAATGGCACTTGTATCCAATGTCGCTGTGTTGGTTACACGTTTAATATAACTCCGCTTTTTCTTGGGCGATTCTAAATTTGCATCACTTTTCACACCCTCGGAAATACGACTAACTGTCCTTAAACTAATTTTTAAAGCAGCAGCAACACGCTACAAAAAATGAAATAAAATTTCACTATTATTAATATACATTACATATAATTATTAGTAACCTACCTCTTGAACAGCATTTAAAGGCAACAAAGGCCCGTTGTTGTCCCTTTCTTGCTCAAAGTAGTGCATTAACGAGGCCACGAGTTCCTTACACCGACTATTTAACTGTTTGGGCATCTTTATATACCAAAATTGCCTTTATCTACTCGTAAAATGAATAATTTTGTTTTGAAACAAACAGTTGTTGATTTACAGTATGCGGGGCCAAAGGATTTATAAAGATTTGAAATGCCACAAATTGATTCAGTGTCAAAATTAATACAAATGTCAGTTCCCAGTTTAAATAAGTTTCAAGGTGACAATGTGTCAACGCTGCGAAATCGGTTTAGTGCGTCTACATGTCGATAAGTGATTGGAGCGTTTGCAAAACATTTTATTTCGCATAATGCGTCTAAATTTATCAGAAAGCAACTTATGTGATATTTTAATAACAATGTTTATATGACTATTAACCATAATAAGAGAGTAATGACCATTTTACAATTTATATATCACATTAATATGAAACTGCAATAGAGCAATTGTTTGTGATAGAAACCTAGGCATTAGGTCGGGGAATTTTTATCGTGATGACGTGCACGCCACTTTGTTTGGCGTTGACTATAGAGTACTTATCATTAGGAATCAAACGAGGCTCTATTTGATGGGTTTCCATGTCCACTTCCTGGCTCCATCATCAGATCATCTCGATGTCATAATAAATTTGCACTGTCAATTGTAATATTAAACGTCCGGTATATTGGATTAGAATGATGTCACTTTGCTTATTGTGTTTCTTTCATCAAACTATGCGACTGCTATACTGGATCTAGAATGACGCCACGATGCTTACTGTGTCTCCATCATCAAGCCTTCCAGTCGATAACCATATCATATGGGTACCTTTATAAACGCCATCTTGCGGCGGTCGACATATTTGATTTGAAATGACACTTTGCTTATTATGTTTCTCTCAAGCATTTTCATCTAATCCTCATATTATAGGAGTGACTATGGAAATTATAAATCCCCAAGCCTCCATCATATTGGATTTAGAATGACGTCAGTTTGCTTATTGTGTTTCTCTCATCAAGCTCTTTCATTTGATATCCATATCATATACTATGGATTTTTTTTATACTCCAACTACCACGAAGGCCTAAGGCCTAAGCACCCATTGGGTACCGTGGGGCTATAGGGGGATACATGGGAAACGGGAAATGATAAATCATCATGTTGTAGCATATGCCATATTAGATTCAAAATGGCGGCAGTTAATTCATTATGTATATTCACACGAATCAGACAGCCATACAAAATTTCAGCTCAATTGGTTCAAAATTCTGTTTCAAGATGTGTCCCACACATGCATACTAACAGTTTCTTGTACAAAACAATTTATATTGACATCCCAGCTCAAATTAAGCCAGAAGAAAACGAAAACGGTTCAGAGTAAATCCGTATTTTCCGTCTCTCTCTCTCTCCAAAAATACTCTGAATTGCCAAGCTATCTAACATTTTATTAGTTACCTAAATACGCAACTTTGCCTTCATAAACAAATTCAAATTAAATTTTTTTATTATCCTGAGAGACATTACAATGTATGTATAGGATTCGTCAGACTAAAAACTAATAAAACAACACAATATAAATATATGTATAAAACAAACACATAAATCATAAAATAACAAACACAGAGATGGCGTAATAACATTTACTTACAAGAAATTCTGTCAGTTTAGCCTTAAAATTATGTATATCTGAAAACTCTTTAATGTGGTTTGGTGCCTATTGAAAATTTGAGAGCCCAGTATTTCCAAAGATCTGACGGCGATCTTATACTTGGCAAAACACACATTTAAATTTCCAGCTTGTCTGGTCGAGTACGAGTTGAAATTGTTTAAATACCTATTTAAAAATAAAGATGGGTAAAGTAAAAATCTTAAGACGCTTAACAATATTCTTACAAGAATGACTCCTATCATACATCTAATCACTTTTCTGGGCCAAAAATACTAGCTGGGCATTTGGTGATAAACCCCAGAAGCATAGTGCATACCTCAGTCGTGTCTCAACTAGAGCATAGTAAACAGAAACTATATGTGCTTCAGTACGGACATTCCATAAATTTTTCATAAGATATGATTGGGAGTTTATCTTTGAAGCAATATATACACAGTGGTCTTTAAAATTTAAACCTGTATCTAGATACAAGCCCAAGAATTTTACTTGCGTGTCAAGGGAAATTCTTGAGCCATTAAAAGTGATATTTAATATCATAGGTTTCTTCTGGATGTTGTGAAATTGGTCCACTGATGTTTTTCCACAATTTAGATAGAGCTTAGTGCTGCTAAACCACTTGTGGATATTTTGCAGTACAACTCCACTATCTCCTTCTAAGGTCACACTTATTCAATATCACCACTGAAGTATCATCTGCATGTAAAGAGTACTCAATTAAGTATAGACTAATTTATTTTTTAGCTTTTCATTAATTAAGTCAAATAATTCATCAGTAAATGGATACAGCAACATCAAAGGCAGTGCCCTACTCGAACTAGAGGTATGCTTATTTGTCTGTTTTAGATTTATTTAGCATTAATGCTACAATATCCATATTACACAGTATATCAAAAAATATATTATGACTTCAAGACTACATATTTTTATACAAAATTTCACTACTATGAATTCTGGTTTTCCATGAGGTATTTTTTCAATTTCCCTTTGAACATTTTCAAACTGACACTCATCTTGATATCATTACATAACTTATTAAATTCGTACAATCTCTTTTGAAATACTGACCTGTTCGTTATATTGCTACAGCAGTTTTGTAGTAGAATAATTGTGGCACTCATTGTTCAATACAATAAAATTTTCGAAGTGATGATTTTTTAACTTGAATATGAAAATATTTATTTTGATTTAAGATGATTCTCATAGCTTTATTTTGTAATATTTGTAATTTTGAAAATACAGTTTCATTTGCAGTGAACAAAATAGTCGAACAATATAACAAATAAGGAAGAATGATAAGTGTTGTACAAATTTTTTTTAGAATAAACGCTTAGGCTAATATGCGAAAGTCTATAAAAGTATTTTTTTTTCTTAAATATTTTTGAAATAATATATTCATAGTGCCCTTCAAATTTTAATTTACTGTCTACGTATATGCCCAAATATTTAAATGATTCGATTGACACAATTTTTTCATGATTAATTGTAAGATTTATCGTATTTTGATCTAAAGATTTTCCTATTAGCGTATATTTTGTTTTGTTTGTGTTTCGTTTAAGTTTATTTACATTTAACCAGTTTATTACGTTTTTCATATCATTATTTAACAGCTATATTGCAGTTTCAATGCCTTTATTTGATATATATATATATATAATAGTTGAATTTTGCAGTGTTGTAAAATATCAGGAATATCATTAATATATCAAGTAAATAGTAATGGACCTAATTTGCTGCCCTGGGGCAGACCTACCGAAATGTTTTTAATGTTTGATAATGTATTGACAATTTTAGGTCTTTGATTAAATAATTTTGTAGTAAGTTGAATACTGAACCTTGAAATCCATAGCAATGCCATTTCGTTAACAATTTCTCCCTCTCAACAGTCTCAAATGCTCTCTTGAAATCTAAGAACAATGTTACTGTACACATTCTTCTGCTACCATTTGAATTGCTGTTTCAGTAGAATACTTTTTTATGAATGGGATTTGTTGGAATATTTTTGACGATGTTTAAAGGTGCATTTTTAACTTTTTGTATTATTTCCGGCCAGTTCAGATACAGTCTTCCCCAGACAGCTGTAGTTTTGTTGCTGGAATCATTTTTTTTCTTTTAATACTTTAATTTATCTATTCTATTAATTTCTTGTGTTGTTTCTTTTTTCCAATAATATACTGATATTTACATTCTGGAACTACTGTTGTTAAATAATAAAATTCCTTCAAGTTGTGAATAGTATGTATGCACGATTTCTTCGTTCACCCATAATTTACTTGTGGTTGAAATCGTATGCATTCGCCGTTGAAAATTCATTTGTTAGTTAAATACCTCAAAAAAATGTCCAAAGGCGTGGCTAACATCATTCATGTTATATAGTGGACACCAATCTTCAGCACATATAGTAGATCTGATATAAATTTATTTATTGTGTCTTCATCATAGCACATTTTATTATTAGGTTTGTTTTTTGTTGAGATGTTTTCATAAAATTCGAAGAAGATTGTCCTGTGGTCTGACACATTATTCACTAAAGCGCAGGAAGTACCACTATCCTCAAAATTTGTTAATATATCAATAGTGGTGACTGAACTACATTCTATTCTTGTCGGTCATCTCACTGATGGAGGTAAATTGAATTCACTATTCGGGTTTCCAGATTTAGTACCTTGATTGTAATAATCTATATTGAAATCGCCGCATAAAATTATGTGATGGTATGGCTGATAAACAGAATGTATATCTTGACCCAATTTAATATATATATAGTTTTTAGCAAAGTTGGGTTTAAATTCAACATAGATTTAAAACTAATCCAGTAATTTCTCCGGAGAAACCTGTACATGAACAACTTTTTTGTAAAAAAAAACTCTCTGCATTTAATTTCGTGGGGCTTGAGAGAAGGACAGCTTCTTAGAAAACATCCATAAACTATATGTACGCGAGAAAAGTGAATATTTTCAATGAAAATTAAGTAAAAGTGAGATGGATCGAAAAAAGTGAAAAAAGTAAGTCATCAGCATCCCTGCACATGTACCCCCTTACTCATGTTTTGTGCGGCATTCTTTTAACACCAGCTCGAAAACTGCAAAAAAATAAAGAGTACATTCTCAAAAAATACCCCAGAATGGCTTTCTAACCAACTGCATTAGTCGCGGTAAACTGGACACATGTAAACAAATACATAATTACAAACATTTAAATTCACATGAAAGGTTTTTGTCGCCATAATCCCTAAGCATCCCACGGCAACAATAAGTATTCGCATTTTTCTCTCGCCGTTCCTTTTCGAATATAACTCACAAAGTGTCAAGCAGCGTATCAAGGCAGTCTTTTACTTCATTCACGCCGTACAAGTCGCTAAGCATACTCTTCTGCACATACTCATTCGGACTTGCGATGGGTTCTGAACTGGAAGCGGCTGGATTCTTGTAACAGAGGTACTTGTTGCATGCCCCCACGTAGTGCTTTTCACGCACCAGGTCCTCTATATCCTGCAATTGTTCGTAGTCGCCGCCTAATTCTTCTTCCAGCTTGGCGCTCAGTGAAGATTGGTCCCAGTGCTTGAACGGACAGCCGTGTTCTTGATTCACGGCCGGGGTGAAACTGGAACCATCAGAAACGTTAGCATATCACCGGGTTATAAAGGGTTTGGTAATAAATAGGGATCGATGTTGGAATAAAACAATTTGTGTCCTAAATATTTTTTTACTTGGACCATTCACGGTTTGGCACTGTGTCTTAGAAGAGACAGATGTAATTTTCAATGACTTTGACCATCGATTAAGGTATTATAGGTATTCTTCCTAGGTAGGCTACTAGAGCTGAAAAGTACTTTTATCAACGTGACCTCGTCACTCTGTTCAAGGCTCAAATAAGACATAGCATGGAGTACTGCTCATATGTTTGGGGTGCAACCGCCACGACTACAGTTTCAGAAATCTTTCGCTCCCACGGGCCGTCGCCGATCTAACTCTCTTCTACTGCTCCTCAAACTTCTCCTCCATGATGTCGCCACGCGATGTGCCTGCCAGTCATACCCGCCTGACTTCGGCTTCCCACCCTAACCATGTCAAACTCCGTACATCCAGAACTGGCCGACACGTCTGCCTCTTTGTACTTAGGCTATCGAGATTGTGGAACAATCTACCTGAGGAGGCGTTTTCGAGTTCTATTGACCTCAGGCAGTTAAGAAATCAGATGAACAAAGGTTCTTTAAGCTCCTCATAGCAGCCGCGGTGCCCTGGTATTTAGGCTACTGTTTGCGCGGCTGCTTCGGTATAAAGAAAATTTTGTGGAAAAAATCGCAGGCTTCGGCGTCTAGGGGGGCTCTAGGTTCTAGTTCCGTCAATGATTTGTAGCAATCACTGTTAACAATGGTGCTCTCGCTAACATGGTTTTCGACAAACTACGGTCTCAATTAAATCGTCACTAATATCTAATATCATTCATGAGTGATATAAATGCTCACCTTTGTATCCTTTCGCATGTGTATGGTTTATATTGAAGTTTGCTGCCAACTTTACCATATTGGTGCTTGAATAGGTACACGTACTCCTTCTCGTATTTTTCTTCAGTCATTACCTGGCGCGTAAAAATCATAGAATATTTATAAAATCTATATCCACTCGATAACATCTAACATCATATAATTTAAAAACGTAGTAGAGATAAAAGAAAGTATGCGATCAAATGGGAAAGTTCCAAACACTGCAAATATTTTTGATAATCATACCATACCATTTATTAAACTCATAATATATAAAAATAAAACACGACTTTAAAATAGTTTCTACGGAGTTCGGAATTTATTCCATACTGTGCGGTTTTTATCATTAGTTTATTAATAAAATACTTTCTTACTGCTGCAGATATTGAAGAAACATTTTAATGAGCATGAATGAAACTAATGACCGGCTTACCTGAGTGAACTCTTCCTTCCAGAAAACGAGCATGTCCTCATACGACATGCCAACCCACTTGAGGAAAATGCCTAGCTGCATCTTGCAATCATACTTGAGATGGTGATTCCGCCTGAGATAATTATGCAGATGGAGCATACAGAGGGGGTAGTGCTGTTCAGCCACCCTATCCACGTTGTCCGTAGTCACTTCAATAGGGATATTAAAGCTCTTTGAGGTTACCACCGGCATGATGGGCTTCAGGTGGTAAATTCGTTCATCTCGAATTCCCACGCGTCTTGCCCACGTCAGTTTTTTATTTAGTCGTTCCTGAAAACAATGATTCAACTGTCATTGTCAATCCTTCTCTTCAGTAGACAAACGGAAACAAGTTGAAATGGAGTCAAGTAGGTTGACTCTGCAATTGTCATCAGTTCATAAAAGCTTAGTAAAAATACTAGTACTATGCACATGTATAAAAAATAAATTAAATGGAAGAGGTCAGATAAATAGCCCCAAGCAATTAGTTCCCAGACCCTGCTCATTTGATAACGTTGCAATCTCAACATTAATTTTCTAACCTATCGACCATTCGACATCGTTGCGATCAGATTTGGGATGAGTAAACCGCCACAGGCTGGCGCACCATAGGTTTAACTCCTGTTTTCGCCCCGCTTAACCGGACATCCCCAATTTTGTACCCATCAAATACTTTTTCGTCAAAAACGTCAAAAAACGAAGATTTTGTCCGTTTTTGTTTTTTTTTTCATTTTACTGGTATTGTAATCACGGAAAATTTCGAAAATGAGATATGCTTTTCGGATGTTTTTTGACTTGAACATCATGAAAAGCCTCATTTCTGTCTGTGGATACATTTGTCCGCTAATCCTTGTCCCGCCTATAACTTCGAAAGTACCGCTCGGATTTTGATAAAATTTTCACACAAGCTTCTGTTCAATCAGGCCAATCAGTGGGGGTGGAGCAATGGGCAAAAACGAAAAAAAGTCAAAATTGTTCAAACCTCACTTTTTAACATTTCAGAGTCTCCTGAGCGTTTTCAAAAAACATTGTAGGAGTTAAACGTTGGCGTTAGGGTTGTAGGGGGAAGAGAAGGATATATCCCAATTTTTTGGCATGAGTATATTTATATGCTTCCAATCCCGGTGATTTTACGCATTTTACGCACCTATTGGACATATTTCACACATCATACATTTGCCCTCATAACTTGAGAAAGAAAGAAAGAGATATACAGTAATGGACAAAAGTATATAGACAAATATGAATATTTACCTAAATACCTTTAGAAAACGAATTCATACTTCATTGCTCCATAAACAAATACGTTATTAGTAGAAAAACTAAATTCCTTGTTTTTACATTATCTACAATACAAGTCTGAATATAAGCACTTTTTTATGAGGGACAAAAATATGTAGACAAATTCTTTTCAACATTAGTTTAGTACAGTTTCGTGTCAGAAGAGGATTAGTTTGTGTTCATCAAGCATGGTGGAATAAGTTGAGTTATTGTAAGACCATCCCGCGTGATCCAGAAATTTCTTTCGATGTGAAAACTAAGATCATTGAGTTATACAAAGATGGTCAACGTCAAGTCGAGATTGCCAAAAATTTGAAGCTGAACCGTAAAGCAGTTTGGGCAATATTGAACAAATATAAACAAAAAGGAATCTTGGAAGCCTCTAAGAGAAGCGGTCGGCCTAGAAAACTAAATGCTAGATCACTTAGATTAATAAAAGTAATTTCGTCCAAAGATCCGTTTACAACCCCAAGTCAAAAAAAGCCGAAATCGAGACAAAAGGAATTGTCAGTGTTTCTACGAAAACTATAAGTAGAAGATTAAATGTTTTGAAGTTATTTGCACGTCGCCCGAGTAAGAAGCCGCTAATCTCGAGGAAAAACCGTAAGGACCGATTACAATTTGCACGGTTGCATCTTGAGTGGAGCATCTGTTACTGGAACAGCGTATGTTTCAGCGACGAATCCAAGTTCAATATGTTTGGATCAGATGATGCTCGTTATGTTAGACGTTCTAGTGGACAAAGATTGAACTCCAAGTACACTTTGCCCACTCTCAAACATGGAGGCGGGTCTGTTATGGTTTGGGGGTGCTTTTCGGGGTTTGGGATGGGACCTTTACATAGAATAGATGGCATTATGGATAAGTTTGTATATACAGACATACTAAAGCATGTCATGTTACCCTATATGGAAAACAATATGCCCTTAAGGTCAATCTTCCAGCAAGATAATGACCCGAAGCACACTTCAAATCTCGCAAAGAAATTCTTTCTGGATGAAAAAAAAACAGTTCTCAAAAGGCCTTCACAGTCTCCCGATATAAACCCCATTGAAAATCTATGGGAATACTTAGATAAGCAAATACGAGATGAAAAATATTTAAACAAGGATGAACTTTTTGCCTCTTTAGAGCAAAAGTGGAGACAGATTGATGAATCTTATATCAAGAAACTTATACAATCTATGCCGAGACGATGCAGGCCGTGATTGATAATAGTGGTTGTGCTACAAAATATTAACACAAACATGGTTGGTTTTCTATAATTCAATGAACTTTATTTCTTTTTTCTATAATTGTTTTGCTTTGTCTATATATTTTTGACCAGTTTTTTCAATTAATTTTTTATTGGAGGGAATCTAATGAATTTATTTATGTATAAGTGAGTATTATGATATAACGAATTATGTATACAGGTTGGTGTATTAATAAAACAGGTTAAAAAAGAAATACAGTGCAATATTAATTTGTCTATATACTTTTTCCAGGCAAGCCAACGAACGTATACTTACCTTGTATCAGACCTGACCGATGAGCGGCTATAAAGCCGTGCTGGGTTGACGAGTGCAGTGGTTAGTTACAGCAAGGTTGTCAGATGGTCGGTACTGCCGGTAGGACATGGAATGAATTTCTATATCGCAACACTGTCAAATGTGGACTATGGTCTAATAGCGTGGACCTGTTTGATTGGCTTAATCCAGCTGAACATGATCTGATGACACGCGTGGAAAGTGCAGAGTCATCCTACTTTACGCCATTCTTTTGTGCGTAGCTCCGTCGCCACTGGATTGTATTTCAAAAACTACAAAGCTTTTTTCGAACTTGGCACAGTGGCGACCTTGTAAAAAAAATCATCAAAATCCGACTTATACTTTCCAAGTTATACAGAGGCTAAGCAGACATGCAGACAACCAAAGAGACAGATCAACTGAAATGAGTGATACGGTTTTTCCTGTCTTGTAAGATCAAAAAAATATATATATAGTCTCTGGATCATAATTTTTTTGTGATTGCAATACTCCTCGCCAATAAGATTGTTAACTGATGAATCAATCAATCAGCTTTATTCAAAACAAATTAGTTACAAACAGAAAATAAATGAACGAATAAAGCATAGTACCAATAAGTATAAAATAATACTTGTTTCTGCACAAAAAAGAAGTGCAGTTAAAAGCTAAAATTTTCCTGACTATCATAAAAACACTTATAGGGCACACATATGTGAAAGCACTACTAAAACGAATATACAGTGATATAGTGAACGTACTGTAAGTGAACTACTCTAAAAGTGAATTATTTTTGAACCAACTGCTTATGTTCGTAAACGAACACGTCTGTACAGGAAAATGCTTCGTTTTCTTTCGTTCAATCGGATCACGGCAGTTTCTTGAACATGGTATGTATCAGAGCTGCCTTCCAATGGTTTTCGGTTTGACAGTGATACGCTCCCAAACTGTTCCAGAAACAACGCATGAGAATACAATATGGTATTGGTGCTGAGCACTACTGAGCAACTCAACAGGGTCACGGGAAAGTAGCAAATTAGGAAATATTTAAGCCTAAGTGCTAAGGCCAGATATTAGAAGTCTTAAAGAAAGGTGTCAAGGTGGCTGTTTTCTCCAAAGAATATGGTGTTGCCAAGTCTACTACATGCACTATTCCCGCAGTCAACAGTCACCCCTCTGATCTAGATGACTGAAATAATGATATTTTAGCGGATAAAGAAACTGAAGATCACAGCAAAATCAATAACTCTGATCAAGATCAAGAAGGTGAAGAATCAGTCAATAAATCACAATTCATGGACTGAAGAAAATGAAGTGGAATGCTCCAGTATACTTATTTCACAAAACTTGAGAAATAAAAAGGTCCAAAAAGGGTTTACGAGACAAAAAATACAAACAAAAATAACCTAGTATTTCGATAAAAAGGAATAAACTACTTTTCATTAGTACATATGCTGGTAACGTTTTTTTTTATTGTTAATAATGTTGGTTTACTAATGAGTGATTTTAGCGAATTTTAGAAATATCCCATATATGGTGAATAAATCGATCCGGGGAACTGGCTGTGCATTAGTTTGTTCAAGATATTGCAAGTCTACTGCATGCATTATGAGTTTCTAATTTTTTCTCATTATACAGTGAGAACATTCCATATGAATGGGTGTTCTATGAAGCAGCTTTTAGATATGATACATTTTTTATGATTTCTTGACCGCCAGCCAATTTTAAAAAAAAATGTTTAATTCTGGATATGACAAGGTATGCCTAATATACCTGAAAGTGTTGCTGCACAGCATATACTAAAAGCTCCTTTGGGAAGTAAGCCATCCCTTTGTGTAAGAACACTTTTCTAAGTGTTACCAGTTTTTGTACATTGCTCCAGTGTGTCTTGTGGAAATTCCCAGCCAATCTAGATCTTTTATAGTTGCATGATGCAAATTCTTTCTCGAATTGTTTTTTCTCTGCCTGAGAAACCTGAGAAGAGAGTAAATACTAGTAGTAGTAGTTAAAGCTACCAGATCGCAGCTTCATTACTACAATGTACCTCAATTGCAGATAGATTAATCTACTTTCATTACAACAATGGTCATAGATTCAAAACTATGATTACGTACTGAAAGGGTGTGGAAAATTGGAAGCATGGCATATATATATTCGTCCATAACAGTGGTCAAAGGTTGATATATTTTTCAAATGTTTATGTAGTTTAGTTGCCTCAGTTCAAGTTGTTACTTTAAGTAATTCGCCAAAAAAGCATGAAATTTTTATATCTCCTCTGATATGAATAAGTTACAATATACAACTGTTCTAGGTAATACCATTGATTAACATATTCTACCTGAAGATAGACAACTATCTATTTTTGGGTTCCAAAAAATTATCTGAGTTAAACTGAGAGTTTCTATGAGAATTTCTTACAGCTGTGTTCCTCCTGTCTGCAATAGTTAGAAGTCTACCTTGAAAGCTTAGTAACTCATAGATGGCACTGTGGTCAACTAAATACTCATCAAGTTGGCTACAGTGCCATCTATGAAACACTAACCTTATCAAAGTAGATTTCTAATTATTGGCGAAAGAAGAAACACAGATAGTACCAGGATATTTCATTTCATCTCAGATAATTTTTTGGACCCCAAAATAGGTGACTATCTTCAGAGTGTATCACAGAGTGAGCCGTGTTGAAAACCCCATAGGACATCAATATCATTACTAGACAGTTTTAGGACTTGCATCCTATAAGAATTAGAGGGCAACTGTGAGAATGGGAAATACAAGTCTATACTACCAGGATATCTCATTTCATCTCAGATAATTTTTTGGACCCCAAAATGGGTGACTATCTTCAGAGTGTATCACAGAGTGAGCCGTGTTGAAAACCCCATAGGACATCAATATCATTACTAGACAGTTTTAGGACTTGCATCCTATAAGAATTAGAGGGCAACTGTGAGAATGGGAAATACATATACATTTGAGAAACATATTTTATTCCTGAGAGTAATATGTATACGTACGTATAATGATAGATTTTTTTTAACTCATTTAAATTTTTTTCGAGCTGTCACATTATTGCTACAATAAAAAAGCATACCTCTGGAAAATCAAAATGGTTCTCTTTCAAGAACAAGTTAAGATCTTCAGCAGAAGCATTCTTGTACCTCAGTACTAACCATTCTGTTTCTCTTTTGATGAAGAGCTCCCTCAGCTCCTGAGATTGACAGAAAACTGGAAAAAAATGATGGTTCAGAATTCCAGACAGTGGGAAGATTTATAATCCACATTTAGACTTCATCCCAATACAATGTTTTGGCAAGCAATAGTGCTGTTCCCAATATAAATCTTGTAATTTTGTAAATCTGGTCTTACAAAAGGACCCACTCTACTACAGGGGACACTCTACCTCTATATGGACCAGCCTACCTCTAATAGGCTATGCAGGCTCTGATAAAATCAAAAAACTAGTTTTTCTTATAATATCTAGAAGCTAAGCGGTGGCAGACTGCCTCAACTTCTTGAGGTACCTCTTCAGATACCTGCAACCTGCTACCTATACCTAGCTGTAGATCTAAGCGTGCCCTACAAATTGTATGTCGTAGGATAATGTTGTCTGTTTGATAGTAGTTTTCACTTGGCTGTCCAGTATTATAGAATGATGATTAATGTTGTAATTGTCAAAAGTATTCCACAGGTACTGCTATTTGTCATGAAACTGCTGTACTCCTAGATAGATTAAATTAGCTGAATGCTCCCATAATTACCCACGACTTGTGCTGTTTCCAACTGTAAACCAAGTAGGTTTACAGGAAAGATAATTAGTAATATTATCCAGAAGTTCAATCACCTCTACAATTTTACTAAAAACAAATGGAAATGTTCAACTCACACAACAACAATATCCAATGAGCCATTTCATCCCTCCAACATGTCTGGACTTTATCTACAAAAATGATGCAGTCTTCCAGAAGATCAATGTAGTTTTGTAGTTTGTAATGTCTTATTTGCTGCATGATATATTGCTCCCACGGTAAACCACCCTTCCTAATGCTTGCCATCTCGAGAATTTGGTATAGCTGCATGCGATCGTTGATAATAGTTTCTAACTGAGATAACTGGATACCTTTATCATTAGGGGGAACATTGTACAGGCTCACACTTGATAGCATCTTCCAGACTACACAAACATGATGTAAATTGTAAGTATAAGAAATAGAAATTCTGAAACTTACCTCTTTTTTGTTCAACGAATCATATCTACATGCGAAAATCGGTTGACACTGGATGCATTCAGGGAAATTCCACAAACAAAATAATAAGAAAGCATCAAAAGCTGTGAGGACCGGTTGGATCGAATATAACCTCAACTACAAAATAGCAAAGCTATAAATTATTACAACATTCAATAATAAAATGTAATACGTCGACAACAATAATTTGTTATTCATCAATTTACACTAAATCACACTGAACAAACACAACGGTTGTTTTAGAATGTTCCAAATTTTCCGATTCCAATAAACAAAACGAGAAAACAATAATCTGCAGGGTATGCAACCACTCGCTCAACTTTGACGATCGTCAATCGGTGTTGCCAGTGATAGCAGAATATTCTTGTTAATGAGGAAAATATTTTGTTCAATGTTGGATTCTATCCTACTGAATGCTAATACGTCATTTTTGAATGAATATCCGTTGAGGGGCGAAGTAGTAGAAGCAAAGAAACAAAAAAGTTTCAGATCATTTTGAGCGTAACTAAACATTGTTTTTGAAGTAAAGGTTTAATACTTAATTGCCTAAATTTGGTTTCCCAGTTTTTCAGGTATGATTTTATCATAGTTCAAAAGTACCAACAGTTGTTTTAGGGGCGACAGGAAACTACACTGGCATCTCTGAGAAACAATGCTGGCTTCTATAACACCAAACAAGAACATCCACTACATATACGCGTCCTATTGCACTCAGGAGAAACAATGCTGGCTTCTATAACACCAAACAAGAACATCCACTATACGCGTCCTATTGCACTCAGGGGATACTAAGTACTTAAAAGTAGGATCGTAAACACAATTGTCTTCAACCGACAGTTGAATTTCAACTTTCGGTTGGAAAATCGGCGCGGCGGTTCAGTTTTACTTTTATGCAACCGACCCTTATAGATATATACACACATGAATAGAATATGTTTGCTTTTTGTCTCTGAGATCATAACCAGCCCCGTATACCAAAAACGTTGTTTTGTGTGCTTCTCTGCTTCTTAACAATATCGGTATAGCTGTTAAATACCATTGATTGACGTTTCTACCTGAAGATAGCCAACTTGAAATTAGATACCATAGTGTCATCTCTATAGGTATTTGTCACAATTACGTATTTCCTGTCCGCAATAATTAACATATATTTAGCTACAGCGCCATTTATGAGATATTAACCTTTTCAAAGTAGATTTCTAATTATTGCGGAAAGGAGAAACCCAGCTGTGACAAATCTTCATAGATGGCGCTATGGTATCTCATTTCATCTCAGATAATTTTTGGAAACTGAAATGCAGTATTTGGTTGGCTAGCCTTACATCTTCAAGTAGAACATATTAATAAATGTTCATACATATATGAATAATAATTCCTAATTGTTCAGCCTGGATGGTTCAGACCACAAAACACATAAGACTGAGCCGAGTAACTGGCAACATCGAAGGTGCATTTTCATCTTTAGTCATCTGACTGCTGACGTTTTAAGTTTTTGTGGTTTGTTTTTATTCGACGTAGTTGACCCGGGTTTTAATAGCATATTGTAGAAGTTTCTCTGAATATTTTTAATTTTGGTGGATAATAGCCAATCCAGAATATTTTCCAAGATGTCTAGTCCAAAAACTACCGAATGCGAGCTTAAAGCGGGCCATCCTCCTGCAGGTATTTATTTTTTATATAAATAAAAAATGTAACAGGAGTAGGGATTGAAAGTCCTATTTGTACGCTTTTTGTGCAGTATTTTTCGTTAAGATATCCTATACAGTATCTGATTTAACAGTTTATAGGGGATGAAACGATATACGTAAAATATTTGTAAGATAGTCTTATCCATATGCTCTTTATCAGAGAAAGACATATCTAATCATTACATACCTTTTGATATGCGAATACTGTAGATAAACACTTGAATAGGCATTGTAATGAGACTCACAGACAAGGATGTTCTCAGTTGTATAATCATTTATTAGCAGATTATAATTTGTGATTAAATGTTATTTCCTAATAAACAAAATTTGTTTCAATATTAATTCGAGAAATTGCTATCATAATGTAATCAAAAAATACCTTGGTAAATAATTTAAAACTGTATCTTGTCAATTTCATTGTCAGTTTGACAACTGAACTTTATATTCTCAAATATTATATGAAAACCGTTGAGAAATAAATTACCCTCATGTATCTTAAATACCTCAATAATCAGCATAATGTTGGGCGATGGCTTTCAATGTTAACAGAGGGAAAACATTTGTACCCTTCTCTGCTTGGATGGACCACACAAAACTGAATACACTGTCTGTTTTTTTCATTATGTTTACCACCAGACAATTGAATATATTTTAGAGTAAATGTAGAATGTCATGTCATGATCATGATTGAATATTCTGTGATAGATAGTGATCGTCATGAAAACAATTCTATACTATATTATGCACCTTAGACTATTATTGCATATGTCTCATTTCATTCATAGTCAAAGCTGGAGGTATGAGAATCACCCAGCACAAAACAAGGAAAGATTCTGGTGGCATAAGTGAAGACATAACTGGAATCACTGTCTCATCTAGCCCTCCAAAATCTACCACAATCTCAGGTGCTATTCCAAAGGGTAATGCAGATTTTCCAGCAGAGGCTGTGCAAAGCTTCCACAAGGAAAAACCTCCAGTAGTTCACAGTGCAAAGCCTATTATCCATATTCAGCAACCTAGGAAGTAGATTGTTGCTTCTTTTTAATTGATTTCTTACATTGTTTTGACTGTATGCATTTTCATGAGATGTTCATAGTTTGAGTGTGGATGCTTATATATGTAAGAACAAATAATGTGGCTTGATTAAAGATATCATTGGAGGATATAAATGGATTTGATCATAGAAGGGATATGTGAGAGGATTGATGTTATTATTGAATGGAAGCATGGAATATACTTTTTGTAAGCACTCATATTTTATAATAACAGTAATAAACTAAGAATTATGATATAGGGTGCGTTCAGGGAATAGGGAAACTTTAATGCTTGATCTGAGTATTAATTTGAATCATATAGCTGCTGTCACAAAGCACTACAGTGCTGTTATTCTCTAAATGCACCTACTATTGAGTAACATGTTGAATTTATTCCACCTTTAAAATTTAAATAAACTATTTTGAGGCGTTTAGTTAGTTATTTTGATACTAAATATCATGAATACCTACTTAAATCAGAGGTGTCACTGTTAAAATTATTATACAAATAATGGTATCTTTACAAAGATGAAGATAATTATGAAATTTTTGTTTATCAGTATATTCCATGTTTTGTCTTCCTTATAATTGCAGTCATTTATTTGATACTAGTTTTGTGATGTCTCAATGCATTTATTTCATATACATTTTTAAACTTATTTTGAATCATCTTCATGACATAATCTTTAATAACAGGTTTGATGTCTTATGGAAATTACACACATATTCTTTATATTTAAAAAAAATTAACATCTGTATACAGTATATTTAGGTAAAATATCTTACATCCATGGATGTATTATTTATATTTTATTCTGATACCACTGGAACAGCATATTTATATGATACATGCTTTTAGGTTTATGGACAAATATCAATTTTGATATGCCTGACCATGTGGAGGCACTTTTAGATACATTGTCTTCTGTGCATTTTATTGCAGTCAAAATGTTGGGTTGATTAAATTGTTAGGAGAGAATGTACCATATTTTTATATACATAAATAGTTGAAACTTATGCATTTTATATATGGCCACTTGTAAAAGTGACTTCTTTTGAAGAAGATATAGATTTTATTCTGAATATATTTTGTTAGACAATGAATGTTGAATATACTGTAATCATTTATATTCTACTAGAAACATCCTATTGAGAGATGGATATAGTGCGGTTTTTGGCTTCAAAATTACTTTGTATTGATTGTGCTGTCCATTTTACTTATATATATCTCGTATTGTATTTTATTGACAAGGTGACCAAAATGTAAGTTCTCATACATACCTGAAAAGTGATAGTTTTTGAATTTCTATTGTAGATGCTCTTGGTGCAAATTACACATATGACTCATGGCTTCTCAATTATTCTTAAACTTTATTGTTCCATATGCATCTCCAAGTATTCTAGAATCTAGTATTTTTTTAATTTTAAACATGTTTGACTATAATCAACAATAACTACTATAAAATGCTTTTGTAGTGGTTTACATTTTCCTTTGTATGTATGTGAACTGAGTTTTGAATCATCTGTTTTGTGTGGGTGTTACTACAACTGTACTATGTACTTGTATATTTTATATATAATAGTCAGACATTTTAATGGGTGAAAGGTTTTATTGTATTTTCTCATATTTTATGGTCCATAATAAAGAAGATTCAAAAACATTTTCATTTGCATGCTTTATTCCAAGCAAGTAGTTTTTTATCCATTATCTCCTGTCTAGACAAGGATTTCAAGTGAGCTGCTGCCACATAATCTCTGAAAAGAAATTTTATACTCAATGATATTAGAAGTGTTACACCCAGAAAAAATAATTTCTTCAACTTGATTTTTTACATCAAGAATGAAACGATAACATCCACGCAAATTTATTGACAAGAAAAAAAAATAATGAGTTGGACTCTTCGAACTAAAGGCATTTTGTTATGCTTAACACTAGTAAATCAATAACTGAAAATATCTGTACTACTCAGCTCTCAGAAATTGCTTTCTTCACAAAAACTAAGAGATAACATTTTAACAAAGGTAAACAAAAACAAAGATAAAACGTTGACATTGTTGCCACAGTATTGTTTAAATATAGTCATCATTTCGCCAAAAAACAAATTGAAGAAATCATTTTTTCTGGGTGTAACATTGTCACTGAGTATATACTAGCAGTGGCCAAGCCAAAGGCTGTATGGATGAGTTATCCACCAAGGAGCTGACTTCAATTTACCAGTCTCGATCTGCAATAACTACAGTATTTGTATTATACTTGATTTTTTGGTCACTTAAAAATGACTGAGATTTTAAGAGTGGCAAGTTAAGTAGTAGCAAGTTCAGTGTAATAAAAACAATTTAGGTTTAAAATGCTTTTGCTAGTACATACAGGGTGTTCCATAACTTACAAATTTTAACCACATATGCACTGTTGCGAAAGAAGTTGATTTCTCAAAAAAATGTAATGAAAGTTCTACAGAAATTAAGTTATAAATCTGAGTTTCTATAAAAAATTGAAAAATAAATATCTGAATTTTGCGTTCATCGTCGTGATATTAGAACACGCATTAATAATGTATTGTAGCAAATGTTTTACCTAACAAATGACGAAAACAAAATACCAGGAATTTGTAAATAAGGTTTAATCTGTATCGTGGGTGATCTGAATGAAGAACGGTCGATTTTTGTGAAGTTAAATAAAAAAGTATTTTGCGAGTTATACATTAATGAGGAATTAGTGGACATTGTTTTAGCGTACGGAGAAGCACGACAAAATTCGAGAGCGGCTTCTCGTTTGTATGCACACCTATTTCCGAATAGGCACATACCACATCACGAAACATTTAGTTTAATAATTAAAATTATTATTATTTTACGTGCACGTGCTAGTGGAGATTTGCGCCCCGGACGTGGAGTGGATGGGGGTCGGGTTCGCCCACAACGCGTTTTAAATTACGAAGAGGAAATTTTGGATATTGTGAAAGAAGATCAGGGAATAAACACACGGCAGTTAGCCCAACAGGTCCCGGAAGTGTCACATGCCACAGCGTGGCGCGTATTACATGAGGCCCAACTGTACCCTTATCACGTCCGGAATCCAGTCGTTGCTACCTACAGACTACCCCCTAAGAGTAAGATTTTGTGAGTGGTTGTTGCAAGAAAATGCTCGAAATGCCCGATTTACAGCGGATATTTTGACCACCGATGAAGCTATTTTTACTCGTAATGGGATAACAAATCTTCATAATACACACGTTTGGTCCTTTGAGAATCCTCGCGCAATGGTCCAGAAACACTTCCAACATCGTTTTTCTTTAAACATGTGGGCTGGTATTGTCAATGAACGTCTAATAGGACCATTCATATTGCTAGATCGGATGGATAGTCACCAGTATCTGGAATCTCTTCGGAATGATTTGCCGGTCTTTCTTCCGCATTTTCGTTTAGAAGTTCGTGATTTTTTTAATCAGGTTTACCAGATACGCTGTATCGGAAGGGATGGACCAATTGCATGGCCTCCACGGTCTCCCGATCTATATCCTTTGGACTTCTTTTTATAGGGATACTTGAAAAACGAGGTATACCGTACCCCAGTTCAGAATATTGAAGAATTGCGTGACCGAATCACAGTCGCTGCTGATAATTTGAGCCTTCAGGCACAGCAGGAAGGAAGGTATATTTGAATGAGTGCGCCGAAATTGGATTAGAGTCAATCATCGACTACTAAACACAGCTGTGTTCAGTAGTCTATGCAGTCAATGGAAACAATTTTGAACAGTTTTTATAAGTAATGGACTGTTAAACTATTATTTTGTTATCTCGATTTCTGTAGGACTTTTATTACATTTTTTTTTGCGAAATCATCTTTCGTAACAGTGGTTAAATTTTGCCGGATGACCTGTGAAACACCCTGTATATTAACTGGCCCATTAAAGGCCAACCAAGTACTTAGGAATTTGGTTTTACTTACTTGAATTCCTCGTATGTTTTTGAGGTTGTTACAGCTCTAATCTTTGCATCATTACGAATCCAGTACATTTTGTCGCCGTCTATCTTTTCTTGTAGCTCTTTATATAAATCCATATTCATTCTGTTTGACATGTTAAATGGTTATTTCTACGCTGAGAGGTTATACCTGCCACTCCTAATAAATATTTGAAAAACCATTGGTTGTTATATCAATAAGATCGTTTCTATGGGAAATGAGTGGTTCTTGTAAAGCGCGGCCCATACATGTAATATCCTCTAAGGGCTTCTCCGCATCGTATGGTTTACTTACCTCTATCAAAGAGTCTCTGAACGAGTGGCTATGCTGGGGTTGGTGAATAGAATTTTTGTTTATACTCCAACTACCACGAAGGCCTATGGCCTAAACGCCCATTGGGTACCGTGGGGCTATAGGGGGACACAGGGGAAAGGGGGAACGCCACACGGACTCTGGCGAGGGAACACGTGTGCATGCAACATGCACACATTCTGGCTCCGCCTACGAGATCCGCCGGGTGGCCCTCCGCGTTCAACAGTCAGAGACCGTCTACCACCTACGGACAATCACAACATCCATAGCCAAGAGAAAAATTTCTCCTGGGACGGGATTCGAATCCGCACAGCGCACGGCGACTGATCAGGAACTGCAGAGTCTACTACTGCGGCCACCGCTGCTGCCTCAAGGTCCATTTGAGAAAAATGAAACGCATATTGATGATCGAATCTTTATTTTGCAATAGCAAATAAATAATCTAAAAGTTACTTTCGAATTTAATACAAAAATTTCTTCAGCTTTAGAAGCTAGCCGTTCATTAAATTGAACAGTTCATACAAAATACAGAACAAATACATATAACATTTTCTTAAGATACCATTACTTTTTTGTACACTCTTTATATTATAATATGGATGAAATCAACTTATGACAATCTAGGACATAAACCTCCTACTATAGACTAGTACTATACACATTGTGCAAAAATAGTTTGTCAGAACAGAAATCAATTACAAAAAAGTTTGATGCTTAATAAATTCAAAATGTAACATAAATGAAAATTGATTGACCAGACATGCTTTTCAAGACAAACCACAAGTTACAATCAAGAAACAGCAAACAACATGCACAATCCAAAATGAACAAAAAAAAGTCTGAATACAATCCATTTTCAACATGTATCACAAAGATTGGAATGGCTTTGAAACCGTCTGCTAAAATTCTTTATCCCATATAAAATCATAGATTTACCTAAGTGGCTCCATTAATTACGTGAGATGTTCAACTGGTGAGGAGGTCGAACTGTCGACCAAACTCACGCGGAGGACAGTCAAGCCCCATCTCACTAGTGGGGAAGGGGGATCAAAAATCGTTAAAAATGCCTCACGTAATTAATAGATGCCTTCTTATATGGCAAGTATCACCAGAACAATATTTAAAATATCTTTTTTTATCGTCAGTTTCAGAATGCTAAAATTACAGAATATTGTTCCAACAACATAAGGTTTGACAATGGCTATTTAAAAACTATTATTCTATGAATGCATAATTATTTCAAGCTACAGCTTGAGATACATCTCTGATAATTGAAAACCATTCTTCGGGCATGATAAGAATAAAGGATTAATTCAAAATATTTGGTGCAATAGAATATGTGTGCAATCTTTCCCATACATATACAGGGTGATTCAGCAGTGACAATATTTCTAGGGATGCACTTTATCAAAAAATAAGACTACACGTTGATATAAACATGGGTGGCAAAATGCCTCCTTATGGAGATACAGGTTATTCAATTGTACATGAACTGCTCCTCTTTCTGTCAGATCACTTTTGGAGAGTAACGGTACAACCGATGCTACTGTGAAAATACGATGAAGTTGGCGAAGACTAACAATGAACATTTAATGTAGGGCAATCCTCTCTCGCCATAGCATTATTTGAACAATATTCATGTTTTATCCTTATTAGCATAAAGTTACAACACCCTGTATCTTGGTAATGAGTCATTTATGGACTATTTTTAGGATTTCTACACAAATATTATTTATGTAAAACATATGCAAGCAGAATTCCCCTAAAAATGCAGCCCCAAAGCGGCAGCACTTTATGCCTGCAGCATTTGCACCACATGAACAGATATCTATGAACGAGATATTATCCGTGCAATGACATGCTTTAGGAGCCTATATATCTATAGGAGCATCCATAGGTACTTTTTCTATTCGCTATGTGCCGGTTGATACCGCCGCCTAGTGACCATAATTATTCTTTACTCGGGGACTGTCAATGTTCAGCAATTAGATAGAACATTTTTTTTGCTCTTCATCTAAAAGATATAAAATTAAATGAAAGTACTATGTAAGTAATTTGCAAAGATTCAAAGTTCCAACCTCAACCTATGCCAAAGGGAAGAAACTAGTATTAGCACAGCATGTGAGATACTTTGAAGAGTTTAGGATGAACAGACAAAGCTACTTAATAAGAACTTTTATTATAAGACGTGTATCTGTGACAGACTCTCTACAAAACAGCACTACTTAATGAAATTGTATTTTTGAGATAGCTTTACGTCAGCCCATATTTATTATTCTGTTTATTTTTTATGACTTTTGCAGTATAGTAAAAATAAAATTTATTTACTAATAGCCTACAACGTTGCTTACTTTTTTCCTCTTTACAGAAGCTATCTTCATCTATTTCTCTGTTCTAACTTCCATGTTGCAGTAGAAACCGAATAAAATTTGCTCGTACGTTTTTCCCATTGTTCTCACAGTTTACAATGCAGCATGTATTGTGATCCATTTCGAGAATTTGATCGATTTTACATGAAAATATTTAACGCATTTAGTGTGGAATTGTATGAAATACAGCAATTTAACACACATCAATCTAGAGTTATTTCACATATCTGCCACATCACATGCAGGGATCGATTTGACGGACCCCATCACCCACTTTGCATATAGCATTTAGGAATTCTGTTTTTTGTGTTCTTTATGAAACTGACAGATTGTCCACATATTCTATAACGTCACGTTTAAAATGCGTAATAATAAAAAACCTGTATTAAACTAAATATGCCATACCTGATACAACTTCTAAAAATATCCAGCATCTTTGCTCGTTAAAATTAAAAGACATACGTCAATTGACAAACCTTTACATTGCTGTATAATTACAATTATCTTTGCCAAACTTTTTCATAATTCCCTGAATACGATAAAATTATCGTTCACTATATTTATACATTTATCTTTGCACTAATTATATTATATCTTTGAAATCCCACAAAACACGCATTACTTTATTTACACCAAGATGTTCAGAAATCGAGAGAGCGCGGTTTCAAGCCGTTGGTTTTCAAAAAATTCCGCGCCCTCTCTGTCATCTCAATCTGGTCTGGAGTGCGGCCGCAGGCCACCATCACCCACATAGGATCCAGCTGCAACAAACATTATGAGCATGAATATTATTTCGTAAAAAATATTCATTTTTTAATTATCCAAACCGTCAAAAAGAACCAGCCAGTTTCCTGATGGAAAATGGCTTTCGGCTAAATTAGATTAAATATCACATAGATGGCGATCGAAAGTCCCAATGGGGCCAACCCCCTGACAGTCCTTTACCTCATATGGAACCCAGAAACCCCCAAGTAGGGGTTATTAATAGATATGAGAGGACCACATAACTCTTAAAATAATATTATCAGAGAAGTAAAACATACTGTTGCTAGGATTTCTCAATGACTGGCCTTGACAGTTACCTTGTAACATGTAATATTGACAGAGAAGAATTAATACGCACTGTCGTAAATATTTATTCCAGATTGGCCAATGGTGAACATAGATTTGACCTTGTCCGTGACCTTGGATGATATGGTCAAGGTCAAGCCAATTTTTTTAATTGAGGCATCCTATTTGGCAGTGATGTGGCTTATTTTGACTGACTGAGCGGTAAGGGGTCTTGATTTAAAAAAAAAATGCACTCGATATGAGACATGACCCGCTCTCCAGTATCATGAAAATGGCCAATCTTGGTCCAAAATGTCAAAGTGTGAGTGATATTATGATTAGTTACTTTCAAGAAGAAAAGTGGCCTATCTAAAATATGACCTGCCTATCCAGGTAGTGAAATTTTAATTTTGACCTAGGTACAGTTACTGCATAAAAACAAGTCCCTTAGGAAGGAAAGACGACTAGAAGTCCGTTAGGCACGATATACTAGCCAATTCCTTTTAGGCACTAAATTTTATTTTACTTATTATTAAAAAAAGATTTCATCTAGTAACCTGATCGGTCGGTTTTTTTCAGTGGGCTCTTGCTCATTAACACAATACGTGCTTTCTTTGTGGTAAATTCAAGTGATGAAACAATGATTTAAAAACCAAAAAAATAACAACAATACGTGACATTGCCAATTCTAGTTTATATGAGATTATTATGTTAAAATTTACAGGTGCTTAGAAGTATTTAACACGTAAATCCAAAGCTTTCGATGTGTTACGTTTTTAGCTGAATATAAGCATGAAATTTTTGCGTTTCACAACCGTAACTGAAATAATTTTTTGGGCAGAAAGTGTTGTAGAAACTAGTTGAATATATCTTATTATACTAATGTAGGTTAGTAATGACAAAACAGCAGCTAAGTGTTAAATGTCGTGCTATACATAATTTTGTGATAACATAAAATAGTTAGCATTTATAAACTACCCACTAAAATATCCCAGAGTACATAAAAATATAGTATTAGTAAGAATGTTTGGGATGTGGTTAAACCAAAGCATACATGTTTGTACAAATCTCCTAAAATGTAATATTGATATCTGAAAAAAACAGTTATTAGTGAAACTATTAAAAATCAGTATTTTTAGTGCATGAAAGCATTACCAGAATTTTTTGACACAATGAGTTAGCGATAGTTTGAAACGAACTGATTATGTAAATAAATTTGATCATTCCTTATATAAGCAATCAAAAAACATATTTACTGGATTTATCTTATCCTAATTAATATACCTATTGGCATATTATCTCATTATCACAAGCATTTCTTTCACGATTCGAAGGATTGTGATGCCTTAATAAATTTAGCTACATAATTTTCTTGAAAATCCCGCATGGATAGGCGGGTTTACAGAAATATACGTTCCCAAAAAGTTTTACGAGTAGTCGATTTTAATTATCATATGAAAAATATCTAACTATACAATTATTAGGTTTGTTTTCGGTTACTGAAATGTATGTATGATAATATGCCATTCGCTGTTACCTCTTTTGATGTGTCTAGAGCGGGTGCAGGAACGAAAACGTCATGGATTTTTGCCTAACTCTGCATTAATTTTTACAGCTGAGAGCAATAACAATTACGTGGCGGCATCCCCGTGTTAGGAAAAATGGTTGCCAAAACAAAAATGATTTATGGGTTTCAATTTTTCAGCGACCGAGACACCAGTGATTTCATTTGAAAAATTTCGGGTACATTGCGCTTGATAGGATTTCTGTCACTGTCCACTCCGAAATATTAAGCTCGGTCTTCAGAAGATGCACTGTGAATTTTTGGTACTGGCTTTTTTGGAGTAATGATGGAACTGTGTCGTTTTATTCCCATGATGTTCAATAACTTCTATCAACTGAGAACTACCTGAACTTCTTGGCAGTAATTAGTTGATAGGAGACAGACGCTTTTGTCACGGTCGCACGTCGGCGTCATCGTGAGCGTGAATAAATGTTTCAGTATCTTCATTTTTATATACATATGTCTGCTCCAAACGCACCTAAGCAGAGATTTTTGGACTAGTATAATTGATCAATATATACTAAGTGACATATAAATCCGAACACCCAGTTTAAATGGTTTTATTTTAATAAAATTTTGTATAAGTACTTAATGAAGCATAATAAGTAAATGAGTAAAGAAAATTTCAAAATGATTGCACTGCTTTAAAGCACTTTGACCTTTAATAATGTGTGGATGCACCCTGATGTGCTACGCATTCTCCAACGCGCCTAGGCATGCTTCTGATCAGGTAGTCAATGTCATCCTGTGGTATCTCATTCCAGGCAACCACCAACTCCTCTCGGAGTGCTTCTAGAGTCTGAGGAGGACGTTGCAAATTGAGCAATCTCCTACCCATCATATCCCACACGTGCTCAATTGGGGATAAGTCGGGAGATCTTGGTGGCCATGGTAACAATGTGACATCATTATGTTGAAAGAAGTCTATTGTGACTCTTGCAACATGTGGTCGGGCATTATCTTGTTGGAAAGTTAGATCTGCCAGGGTGTCAAGATAAGAAAAAAGATGGGGTTCTAGAACTCCGTGGATATAACGCAGCGCGTTCATGTTACCTCTGATGAAGATTAAAGGTGACCTGGAACCATAAGCTATAGCACCCCAAAGCATAACTCCAACAGTGTGATGAACATGTCTTTCAACAAAAAACTGTGGATTCCTCCTTTCACCACGTCGCCTTCTAACCCTGGCACGACCATCGTGCATGCCTAAACAAAATCGAGACTCGTCACTAAAGACAATACTGTTCCATTCCTGATCCCAGAGTGACCGTTGTCTGCATCACTCAAGGCGATTACGTCGGTGTTCTCGAGTTAAAGGGAGGACCCAGTGTGGCCGGTATGAAAACAAGCCAAAACTTCTCATTCGTCGGTAAACACTTCGCATGCCAATAGGTCTTCCGTGTTCTGCAAACCATTCATTTGCAATGGACCTGGTAGTGGAGAAAGGGTCCCTTAAGGCCAATAATCTTAGGCGGCGATCTTCACGGTTTGATGTTCAACGGCGGCGTCCAGTGCCCCTTGCTCTTTGCATACGGCCTTCTCGAAGCCATGCCTGACAACACCTAACCACAGTGTCTACACTTCTTTGCACTCTAACTGCAATTGCCCGAAAAGAAAGTCCAGCTTCCCGAAGTCCCACTATGCGGCCCCTATCAAACTCACTAAGTTGACGAAATCGTACAGGTCTCCGTACTCTAGGCATCGTAACCGATCGTAAAGGATGTCAAGAACCAAAATCCGCCAACGTTGATTCTTTACTGCGGCTGAAATATTCATTTTTAGAGCGTTAGTGAATTAAAAAAAAAGCAGTATAAAAACCGGAATGTCCAACTGATAAGGCTGAAAATTTTTTCACTTGTTATTTACAGTAAGATAAATACATTCACCAACTTTTATTAAAATAAAACCATTTAAACTGGGTGTTCGGATTTATATGTCACTTAGTATATTTCGCTGTCAAGAAAATTATCCGAGATAAGAGAAAAAGGTTAGTGTCTCATAGATGGCGCCATCTATATAAGGATATACAAGCGTACAGGTGGCTACAGCGCCATCGATGAGACACTAACCTTTTCAAAGTCAAGGTCGTGGCGTAAATGTCATTTGAGGTCAAGGTAACATTCGGACGCAGAATTTCCAGATATTTTCCATTTTCAGTATAAAAATGAGACGTTTCGTTTAATTTGACCTTGAAGGTAATGGTTAAGATCACCCCCACAAACCTTACAACTGTGCTGCCAAACATTTTTGCCAGAGCAAATTGTCTTCATGTCTTGATTTGTCATTTAAATGTCTTTAAGGGCAAAGACCAAGGTCATGTTCGGATGTAAACTTTTTTCTGTGACGGGAAAACATTTTTACATTTTATCTCTGTTGACAGGTAACAAAATGTCACTTTTTATGAAATTACTTGTTCCCCGGGAAACAAATTAGTACTTTTTTACAGGATATTGTATAAAAGATTTAGCTGGCAGTAATTTTTGTGACGCTACTTCTACTAATTCCGATGGAGTCAAAGAAAACTCGGAATCAGACATTTTATCACAAAATTAAATTGACCGCTATTTGATTACTTTAAAAGTTTCCTTAGCAACGCAGGTCTAATTGTCGCTATACTACTAGCGCAGCGTCGGGAGACACAACCTCAAACTAAGATCTAGTACTTTTTTCCATGGTATAATAAATAACTATATTTTCTCACTTGACCTTGAATGTAGTCAAGGTCATTTCCAGGATCACCATCATTTTGCTCCCTCGACACCGTACAACTTTCGTTTAAAACATTTTTCCATAATGTTTGTTATTTAGGTGGGGAAATTGAAATGAGTACACTGTGGATAGTTGCTCAATTTTTGACTATAATATGATAGCGCGCCAACACGCATATTTGAGATCTCGTGAACGGGGAGATTTAGACAAATGGCAAGTCTCTAGCAAACTACGTGGTTGCCCCTTGTTTTCATAACATGTAAAGAACGTCGCGCAATTATTGCTGCTCCCAACTATAACGTGCAGTCAATTTGAGCCCGTTCTTTTGATAATCAATAACAAGCAGCAATGCTCACCTTTGGCGTGGTCGGCACCTGCTGAGCTCCAGCACCGTTCCCGCCAATCTGGTCCTCGAATGTGATGCGTTTGGCGGCGGAACTGCGATGACCACCGGAGCTGGAACCAGAGCCTGGAGCAGCAGTGGGGCGGCGAGCAATGGACGACTGATGCGACTCGGGCCGCGGCTGCTGCCGGGAGGATAAGGATATCATGGTTACCGCTACAATACACCACCACGCTCATACAAAGGGAAGCACACATACACACCATACAGTCGTTCATCCACGCACGGTGCTACTTTGTACTTTACCCAAACACACACTCACAGCCCCAAGCCATCTTTGCGGTGCTCACGGCAACAGAAAACCGTACGAATTTATATACTTCCTCATAAAATCATAGATCACTTGTACTTTGACACGTAAATTTCAAAAAAATAATACATAGAAGACGTGATTGGCACATAACCCATATACACAAGGCGAAAACATCGCATTCGAGAAAATGTTCCAACTCGAATCAAGAGCTTGCCGAGCCGTAACCAGTTAAGTTTTTTTGAAACAAATTACAAAATGTTTTTTTCACACTGGACAAAGTATTTTTAGGTATTCTAGATCATTAAGAGGTCTGTAAATTAAGAGATGAGACGGGCAACGTAGCATTCGATCCTACAACAATGGAGGTGCCGTGCTTGGAGGGGTGACAGGGGAACATGTGATACGCCTTCAGTACAAGTTTGAACTCGCTTGAGTCATTTTTTGTTCTGTGTTATAATAATTAGTTAGATCAATTTCAAGTATCGGTGTGCTATCATATTTTGCTTCTGACTTGGGTACAGTGTAATGAAAACTCTTGCTTAATAGGCTTACGAAGATAGAGGTTTGTCAAGAGCCCAGTTTTTTCGATGGTTTAAAGTATTTTCAGAAGGGAGAAAGTCGATTGAAGAAGAAGCCCTTCATCTTCAAGAAGCGTATGAAAATATTGATGGAACCCGGAGTTTTGTGCGTTCAGATCGTCGATTGATAGTCGGAATGATCGGGGAAGAGTTAAATTTGACTCACACCACCATTCATCAGATCAAGAACAACTGGATGTTGTATTACAATACGACTCTTTTCTCTTTCCCGAAGTTGAAAAATCACCTCAACGGAACTCATTTTGGGATAGTCGAAAACATTCAAACGGCTGTAACCGACCAGCTGAAGGCTATTCCAGCATCGGAGTTCCAGCCCTACTATGAGGAATAACAGAATCGTCTCCAGCGCTGTGTGGGTTGAGTATGAAGTTATTTTGAAGGCGACAATATAAAATTGTAATTATATTTACATAAAAAAATTAAAATAAAATCAGTCTCACCACTTAATTTACGAACCTTGTATGAGCAAAAGTGATTAGTAACTTTTCTCCAAAGTTGACCATTATCGAGTTTAAACGATTTAAAGTTAGAAAAAAACAGAAAATTGACATTTTCAATCCTTAAAAACTCCAATAAGAAGTGTGATCTCAAGACAACAAAGAGTATTTTAGGCTTACAAACTAGAACTGTTCTTATATTTACTTGTGCAACAACGCAAAATCTCATCTCGGGGAGGTTCCATACGACTTCATTCGTTAATCCATCATCAGATATCAGCTCCAATTTTTCAGATTAAATACGCATGGTTTGCTTTGAAACTTGTAGTCGATGCTAGTTAAATTTATGCGGTTTTTATGACAATTACAATCCGGTGACATGTACTATTAAATAAGGTAATCAACACAAACGACAACTGACTTATACCCCAAAGTCAACTGCAGTTTATTATTTAAAAAACAACAGCAATTCCGTAATTTCAATGTTTACAATTAAATTATGTTGAATAAATACTTTTGTAAAATCAGCTTACAAGTTGCTTGTTTTGAGATTACAGTTTTCATTAGTTAGCATATTTGAAATTCTGGCAAATGGTGAGATTGAGAGTTTCGTGAGAAATTTATGGCTTTATTTTCAAATTATGCACCTTAGAACTTTGGGAATATACCTATGACACTCGCAAGTCTCTTACATATAGCTGAGGTCAAATCGGTGTCCCGAAGGGTTTAAGATAAACAAACAACGTTTCCTTGTTAGTTTATCTTGAACTAGTGCTATTTAGTTGTTAATAACGCGTTATGGGGCTCGTGCACGACTCTCTAACGTATGAATGCAGTGGGGAACGAGGCCTGACGAGGGGCATCCCACAAACGTGATTATGGAAAAAATCGATGCGGAAAATTTCTCTCACAAGCAAAAGGTTTTCGTTTTGTATAACGATACTTTAATTACCTTAATAAACTCATGTGTCAAAAGCAGTTTATATCAAAGTACGCTAAAAAGACAAGCTAGGGTTGTCTACCACAAAAACGTTAATTTTTTGTTGGAGTTTTTTTTGGCATAATTCTAACACCTGAACAAAAATACTTATTCACAATGATAAAGCGTACTGTCGCCAGGGTTAAACTGGTTACGTTACCACGGACAATACTTGGACCATCAAAACGTCTCTGTAACAGTGAAGCTTACTTAAGGCAACAGTTAACTATTATCATAATGGAATGCGTTTGCAGAATTTAACGTATTTTTCAAGAACTTTGACATAAACAACTTTTAAACCAAGAGATTATTGGAAGGGTAAAGTGTTATGGAATCTGGACTTATAATTCCAGTAATAGCTTCGAGATGTTTAAACAGGGTGTTACAGAATGATGTCAGTAGAATTTAAGGGCAGATTCACTACGTAAGAATATGAAAAAGTTTCATACAAACATGAATCCGGAAATTCCCCATGCCCTTGATATGGGGTGCTTAATTTGTGTATCTTTATGTTTATCGAAATAACGTACGCCAAAAATTAGTGTTGTTTTCTCAAAGCCATTTTGATACTGCTTGATAACTACTTTTTAATAACGGCAAACAGACTGATGTCCTGGTTAAGTGAATCATTTTTATTTTGAAAGACATGCGTATGAGTCAAAGACTTCAAGAGTAAGTTTTTAGATTCTGGCTTTAACGTACTGCTACTAATTTTTGACAAAAACCCGTCGCATATTTTTTTCGCTTAACAGAGTACATATCAATGAAATTTCTAATAATATACATTTTGTTTACCAATATCTCGATGTTTTCAAGAAAGTGGAGCGTTTCCGGGCCTATGCAACTTTTATTTTCATATTCTAACATTCTGCAAAACCCTGTGAAAAGAACCCATTATTTTTATATATTTTAATAGATGTATCCTCCTTGTTATATAAACACTAAAACTCTATTGGCTTGAGAGTTACGCATATCACGTTTTAGTTGCAATAAGGATATGATGAAAACACAATTATCCAAAATTATCATTTATTATCGATAGTCGTCTTGGTTCCACGATAACGTATAAGATAGAATAAAAATTGAAATTGTTGCTCAATAAATAAGTAAGAAACGCATTTTTAAGAGCACGCACGTAGGAGTTTTCTGTTGCCTTAGCTTAGCAGAAAAATGAGCACCATCATTTTTGGTAACTTAAAACTAGTGCAAGGAAAACCTTCAAATTTGAAAGTGCAACATAAACATTATTACAACTACAAAAAAGAAAAATAAAGAGTGCAAGTATCTACAAATTTCCGAAATAAAAAACAAAACATAACAAGATAGCCTGTGCTTATATGGTTCACGCAATATCGACATTCTATTCCTTCATCTATAGACAAACAGAAAGCTAGAAAATAATTTAAAATCGATTTTATGAAGCTTAAGAAAACAGTATGTCGATCGACCAACGTTCGAAACGAGAAGGAGAGATGGAAAAAATTACACACAAATTGAAAAATAGTACAGAGTTGTTTTCTCTGATGTAACAGTTTTTCATTTTAACTACCTTCATAGGTGTACGACTTCAATTTTCAAGAGCTTTGCAAATCGAACAGTTGCGACTTATTCCTAATTTAATGAATCTGAGACTCACAGACTTGGTCAGGGAATGAATAAATTAATGAATAAATATGAAGTACTAATATTTTCTAAAATATCTCCTTAATAAAATTCACAGATATTTCATAATTGAAAACGATAGCACGATAAAGCATTACAGATAATTGATAATAAGGAGAGAAAATTCAAATGAATATTTCAGTAATGATCTGTGCTCCTTCACAAGTCAATTCTTTAAATGTAATTCGGGCGTTTTCATCCTTGACTTTATATCAGAAACACAATGAATTTTCCGCGATTTCATCTGGACCAATTACTTCAAATTAAGGTTTTGATTTTTCACCATATAGCTTATGCTTGCCCTGCTTAAGTAATAGAATATGCCTGATCATAAAAAGAACTCTGATATTAACAACACAAATAACAAAAACTATATCAAAATAAATAAAAAAACGTTCTTGCAGATTAAATATCCTTAATAAAAACAAAAATATTATTTTTATCATAAAATAATATACTTGCGTTTCTGTGCGACGGCATAAGCTGGATTATAGTAAAAAAAAGGGAGAAGTAAGGGTTGTATTTACAGGTTAGGGTACTTTGGTTTACAATTGTATCATCTTACAGACTAGAAGGGGAACTTCAAAAAGTTTAGAATGCAGGACAGTATTTTGCATGCGAATTGTAGTACGCAGAATATGTAGTACTTTTTAGGCCTTCATGAATCTATTAACGTGTTAAAACGTCTAAAAATGTTAGTAATAAACTAAAATTAACTGTTGGTATTGATAGTATTAATAAAGGCTTAAAATAAAAGTAAATATCTATAGATACATAGTTACAAAGTAGTATGTCACATAAATCAAGCTAAGAACTGCAAGAAGAGTGCTATGACAGATAAAATGTAACACAGTGAAATGTTTTACTGATAACTGGAATGTTTCTGTTTTACAGAATTTTCACATAGCTCAAAGTTTGTTCCCAGCAAACTCTGATGATTCAGAATTGTTGATTATTATGGATGCTATTCTCAAAAAGTACGTATATGTTTAATTACGTTACTTAACAACTGGAACATTTCTAATGCTGCCTTTATTACAAGAATTACTTTAGCACTTTCCCTGCGAGTACCCGTAAAACCTAAACCCCCAATTCATGCGCAAAACAGCATTGGACAACGTATCTGATAGAAAAGGTCACCAGAAACCTATTTCATTATAACCAGAATCATCTAAAGGAATACATAAGAATGTTAAAAGAGGTAAATCTACAAAAAACATCTATCCCTCAGGGAAAGTTAATATGGTTGCATGTAGGTCTCGGTAGGTTGGGAAAGGGAATGTTAAGAGAGGAAATTATCGCCGAATTGGAACCATCCAAGTACCTTGGAGCCTGCTTGCGATGGATAATCCATTAAGCCTGTTACGCCTACGTCTTTCATTATCGACGAAGGCGTAGAGAATAATATCGAGGTATCGTTGCCCAGGGATTTACTCTGAAACAAGAGATAAAGGCATATTTTAATACAATAGTCATATATCCACAAAAAATATAGGGTGTCCAGTGGGAAAGTTCAAATTTCAAATTACGCGCTAACCGTATACGCGAGGAAGTGGGGAGAGGTCTTGATCGACGCGTTCGGCGTGAGGGTTAAATAGTCACATTGGAACATTGGACCGAAGCGCAACGTGCTTTTGTTGTCGAGGCTTACTTTGAGTGGTGACTCTGCCCTTCGGAAATTTTGTACACGATACAACATTCGCCGACCAACAGACGTCCCAAGTAAGAACCTATTGAAAAAGTGGATTAAGAGGTTCCTTGAAACAGACTCTACTCTTAGTCTACCGATTCCTGGCCCCACACCTACTGTATCAACCGAAGAAAATGTGCTTCGAGTAAGTGATTCATTGCAAATCCTCGGCGTTCTGTACGGAAGCATTCCGCTGATTTGGAAATCCCTAGGTCAACACTGCATGGCATAATGAAGAAAAAAAATTAGTGATTACGTATTACGGACATCTTGTGCTGAACGGATGTTGAATCTTTTCCTACGCAGCGAGACTCGACAACGTTGTTTTCAGTGAGGAAGCCCATTTTCGCTTAGACGGTTATGTGAACAAACAAAATTGCACCAACGAACCCAAAAGAGAAACATCAACAATAGCTACATAATCCAAAGGTGACCGTTTGGTGCGGTATTATTCGGCCGTATTACTTTGAAGATGAAAACGGCCATGCATTCACAGTCAATTCCGATCGATACAAGGACATGACTGACAGGTTTTTTGCTCCTATTGTAATAACAGATCGTCCATTTAACAGAAACACATGGTTTCAACAGGATGAGCCACTACCCATACTTCAAGAGACTCGATGGACTCGGTGAAAGCACTTTTTCCTCAAAAAGTTATATCGAAGTTTGGAGACATTCACTCGACCTCACGCCATGCGACAAAAGTGTATAACACTGTAATTCTTCCCAAATTTTTATGTTGTTTAACTCTTGTTTACAGCAAATGAAAGCATCTTATCAAAATAACAAATTCTACAAAATAAAGCTATGAGAATCATTTTAAATAAAAACAAATATGCTAGGATTAAGTCTATGTTAGAAGAACTACATTGGTTGAATGTGAAAAATTTCATATGTTATTTAGTTCTTATTTTCATATTCAAATTAAAAAATAATTTATTACCACCACATTTAGAAAACTTCACAAAATTAAATAGTCATTATCATAGCTACGAAATTAGAGGCAGTATAGATTTTCATCTGCAAAATTGTAATAGTAAAATAACTAGCAAATCCGTATTTCAAAAGGGAGTATTAAAATCACATTATGAATACTCAAAATGTATAGTGATGTAATTTTAATAGACAGGAATGTAAAATTACAGAAAATGGATTGAAGAAAAATGTGTAAGCGAATAATTATACAAAATTGACTTTGTAGTATTAATGCTAAATAAATCTTCTACAAACAATCAAAATTAATGATAGTATTTTTTCTCCAAAAATCACCTACAGACTAATGCTAAACGGATGAAGTTGCGAGTTTAGGCTAGATAATAATATGTGTGAAATATACATACCGGTGTCTCCACGGCGAATGAGATATCCGACGAGCTCAAGTGAGATGACGTTGAAGTCCAAGAGGGTGCAAGTGCTTTGCGCACCTTCTTGTTCGGCAGAACGTTCTCTTTACCTGCCGCAGCTGACGAAGGACTCGCCTTCCGTTTACCAGTTAAATATCCACTATCACTCTATAAACAAAAGAGAACCTTGTAGATGAAGGTCAGAAATCGTTGCTGCGAGACACTACCAAGGAACAACGTTACCATACAAAAAAACTCTGAAAAACTTCATCTTAATTAAACCAGCTTCATAGAACCACATATTTTTTTGCCAAATGGTATCACATAATGTAGAAATTACTTTATACTGACATGTTGGCCACCCCGAAAAAACTGATTAACGATACATATACCAAAAACGCAGTACCCGCAAATAGGAAGCAGTGCAGTTGAAAGATTTGGTAGCAGGATCAGAGGAAATGAAGGGAAGCTCTCAAAGCTTTCAAATATGTAACTGGGAGTGCCTTTATTAGCCGATGGAAAATACCCTGACGAAATAAATAATAAAATCACCCAGGGAAAGCATCTAATACGTAGAATGCTGTGCTGTGGAACAATAAAATAACAAGAATGTCCAAGTGCAGGATCTACAAAACGATAGTCGAAAGCATTGCCATATATGAAGCTGAGCAGAAGTTGTGGAGTTTCTCGAATTGAGCATGTCCGTAAAAATAGTATCAGACAAAGAATGGGCAATGAAAGAACAATTTCAGATTCTATCGAGCTAGCAATTAGAGTGGTGAGGTCATACGCAAAGAATGAGTCTGGAGAGAAAAGATAATGTCCACCAAGTAGCTGCCGCCAAGATATATGTGAAGCGATGGCTGGCGGGGGACTACAGCAAAAAGTCCACCGTGGGGCCAAAACGTCAAGCGTTATTTCTACATATATGGGTTCATTTGGCCAGAAAAACATCTAGCAGCACGAGGGCCAGATGATATGTTAGTTCTAAATATAGATACCTCTGTGGTATCCATGATACAAACAACCAGTGAAGAGCTATCTAATTAAAACCAATACATTTAAAAAATATAAATATGCTACATAACCTTTTCCTTAATCCAAAATCACTCCATTCTGTCGGCGGCGATAACGATCACTGAAATAATACTGTAACAATTTCATTAACCACAGGCTACCTCTACTAAAATTTTCTAAACAAACCCAAAAAAATTGCAATGAAAAACCTTATGTTTGCATTTCTGAAACCAAATACATATTATCACAACAATCTACTACACAAACGTTGGTCATTTCTTAAATCCAACCAACTAAATCAAACTGCAGATTCATCCAGATCATTAAAAAACTGCTTCGCAACATGGATTTTATATGTCGCAAAATTATATTTATTGTATTCTGCAAATCGACAATTTGATTTGGTTCATCAATCACCTTAATTCATAAAGTTCCCTCTTTTGGTTTAACCACATGGTAAATTGCAAGTTGCGAACACACAAGACATATGTTTTAAGCACACCCTTTCAAACTACCCACATTTAGCAAATCAAAAGTCCAAAGCAGTATTATGCTCGTTTCAATATTCTCTTAAGTTGCCAAACATTTGGAATATCTGTCGCGTATTATGGACCTGATAGTTATGTTTGTACAGGCTGTATCTTCTACTAAATCAATTTAGAAAATTTTATTTAATTGAACGATAACGAAATGTTTTCCAGTTTGAAAATATTCAAAGGGAAATTCAAATATTTCATGGAAAACGAGACTAGCAAAACTTGGTTAAAACTATCTATACTTGAAGACAAAAAAATGCTCTATATTTGTACTATGTAACATTGCTAAATAAATCGTACAACAAACATATTTTTGAGAGATGTTCTCATTTTTTCTTGTAGAGATTATCCAAACGTGCATAGGGCAAGGGCAAGCTATAACAATTTCTACAACAAACTTACATTGACCATAGTGCTGGTATCGCTATCGCAATGCGAAGTATCCTGGTCCTTGCGCATGATCTCCGTGATGTCTTCCAGCCTGGACGAAGGAGTGTCTGGTAAGCAGGCGATGGGGCCTGATCGTTTCTCCAGGTCGGCCAGCGCCTTTTTGAAGGGAGTGGGAGTACGAGGGGTGTCGCCCGTCGCATGAAACAGTCGTTGCCTGGGAGTGGAGACCGTCTCCGAGGAGGAGGAAGGCACCTGGACTGGCTGCTGGATGATCGGGATGCCGCGTGGGGTGCTTAGAGGGCTGTAGTCGTGGTCCTGAAATTACGGGTAGTGCTCTAATTAAACAGCCACTGTGAAATGATATCAAATTGTATCTACAAAATGGGTGAGGGTGAGCAAATGAAGCTGAACACCATACAGGCGCATGTAGCCTTACGCTGACATGTCGTTCAGCTACATGCAGTAGCGGACAAAAGTTTGGAAACATTCTTAGTAATTTTTAAAGAGTGCGCTAATTTTTTATTCTTTAGTATAAAGGACTATTTTTTTCTCATATAGTCTGCTTACAGTCTTGAGGATACAAATGACAATTTGTGTTTGCTGTGGTACTACAGACAAGCATTAAATAACTTCATATTATTTTATGACCAAAAATGTGACGACAAAAGTATGGAAACATTTTTTATTACAAAATTAAATAAAATAACTCTACAAAAAGTTTAAAAAAATACTATTTCGCTAATATTTGGTAGCATAGTCTTTAGCATTCAACACTGCCTGACATCTGCTGCTTATAGAAGACACCAATTTTTTACTGACGTCTGTAGGGATATTTTGCCAAATATTTTTTACATAATCAAATAAATCGTTTCTATATTTAGAAGTTTTTCTTGTCAGTTGTCTTTTAACATGCTCGCAGAGATGTTCTATAAGGCTTAGGTCCGAGGATTGTGAAGGCTACATTAACATTAATTAGTCTTAATCAGTCCTTTACGAATTTTGAGGTATGCTTGGGATCATTATCTTGCTGGAATGTCCATCGTAAAGGCATTTCTTCTTCAGCAAAAGGGAGCATGTGTTCACTAAGAATATCTTTGTAAAGTTTTTGATGGATTTTCCCAACAATTTTAACAATTGGACCCGTTTCAGAACTAGAAAAACAGCTCCAAACCATGATGTTGCCTCCACCGTGCTTAACTGTTGGCAACTGATACTTTTTGTCGAATCTTTTTCGTATTGGACGTCCCACATCTGCCGTACCGTCAGATCCAAACAAGTTAAATTTGCTTTCATCGCTCCATAAAACTATATTCCATTGTTGTTCTGTCCGAGTTTTAGCAAATTCAAGCCGAGCAATACGATTTTTTTTAAATGACAGGCTTTAGCACTGGACGCCTACTAAAAAGCCCAAAATCCTACAAGCGTCTCTGCACTGTTCTTAAAGAAAGACTCTCGGCACCCTCTTATACGTTTCTTTAGAAAATCTGTAGCTGGCATTCGAGGATCTTCATGAAACAAACGTTTAATGTAGCGATCCAAAACATAATCGTTTTTTTTTTCGGTCTTCCGCACCTGGCCGCGTTGCTGTTGATCTGTATTCTTGATATTTACTAATAATTTTCGAAAACATTTTTGATCTTTGAGAAATGTCAAAATTTCTGACACTTCTTCAAAATAATTCAATTACTTTGTCTCTTAAATCTTTTGGAAATTCTTTTACTTTTGTCATTCTCACTGATCGCAGTATCGCAGAATGAATAAACACTGCAAAACTGAAAAACATTTCATACTTTGATATTGATAAGATAGACCTTGTATTAGTACGGGAGCCAAAGGTAGACTTTAATATTTATATTATCTGTTCCTTCACAATTTTAATTTAGGTATATGAAATATATAGTTCATAATAATGTTAATATTTGTTTCAAACTTTTGTCCGCTACTGAGCCACTGTACATTAGTCTTTTACATATAACAACTATGATTTTTTCGATGATGTTGAGAGCTTCAGGCACCGTGGTGTCCGACGCTTTCGAATATCGTAGCGCATTTGTTCAATCATTCACAAATACGAAATATTTGAATTTGTTTAGAGGAAAAAAATGCAACCTTTGTTTTTCGCATAAAAATAACATTTATCGTCCGGAATAGTTTGCGATTCATATCGGCAAGGTAAATTAGTGTATTTTGTTATATAATGCCCTTTTATCTGACCGTGCATATTGCTCAATAAACTAGCAGTTATGGCCGTAAAATAGGTGTTTTGGGATAAACAATTAGAAATTCTCAAAATCTACTTAACCAATCTATTCCAATTTTGTTGTGGTTATTTAGATGTACGAATCCTACGAATTTGAAGAATTTCAAATATCTGCAAGAAACCATCGTCGCATTACCAACAGATACTTGAAATTATTCAAATTCGTAGGTTTCATACTTCTAAATAATCACAACAAAATTGGAGTAGACTGGTGAAGTAGTTTTTGAGAATTTCTAAATGTTTGTCCTAGAACACCTGTTTTCCGGCCATCACTACTAGTTTATTGAGCAATATACAGGGTTAGTTCAAAGGGCATTTTATAGAAAAATACACTAGTTTACCTTGCCGATATGAATCGCAAAAACTTCCGGAAGATAAATGTTATTTTTATGCAAAAAGGATGGGTTACGGTTTTTCTTCTAAACAAATTCGAACATTTCGTATTTGTGAGTAATTCGCAACAAAAGATGATAGACACATCCGCTTTATTTTAAACTGTGTTTTTCGAATATCGTAGCGCATTTGTTCAATTACTCACAAATACTAAATGTTTGAATTTGTTTGGAAGAAAAAAACGTACCCTTTGTTTTTCGCATAAAAATGACATGTATCTTTCGGAATGGTTTGTAATTCATATGGGCAAGGTAAACACGTAAATTTTGCTATTAAATGCTCCTTGAACGAACCCTGTAAGCAATAGATCAATAAGCTAGTAGTGTTGGTCGGAAAACAGGTGTTTTTTGGGATAAACAATTGGAAATTCTCAAAAACTACTTGACCAATATTCAATTTTGTATAAATTTGAAGAATTTCAAGCATCTGCGAGAAACCATGGTCGTATTACCAACAAGTGCCAAAACTTTTTTGATATTAGCCGGATCTTTTTACGTGTGATCTCATTTTGTAGGCCTCATAAATACCTAAAAATCTTATATTCAGAGTTTTTTCATTCCTGCCAAAACTTTCGATTTAATCCCAAAAAAAAAAAAACAAAAACGTTTTCTCATTCTTTGTTGTCGAATAAAAAGTTTTCCCACAAAAATTGGTGTACCCATTTTATGCGCCCATGTTTTAAATACTCCCTTGGACAACTCGCAGCAATAAAACCAGACATTACAATTATTTCGCAAAGCAAAAGTATTTTCGTCTAATAAATATGATTAGACTTGCCAAGAAACGGGTTTTTGTCACGGTTTCAAATATGCACTTACCATCCTCGACCTATCCTTTGTAGGAGTCTCAACCTCATCTTTCCTCATAGGCGTTGAGCTGAGACTAACGTCGAACGTGATGTTGGGACTGTTGAGGAATTGTGAAGGGCTGAATGGCAGTTGTTTGGCAGGTGTAGTACCGTTGTGACGCATAGGGCTGAAGGTTGGTTTGCCCGCCTCCAGAATGTAGTCTATATCTTCCAGTTTTTCGTGGACTGCGCTCGTGCTGGGCATGGACAGTTCCGAATGGGATGGTTCTGGAACCTGCCAGGGAAACATCTATATCAAAATCTATATAATTGTTTAGAGATATAAGAAAAACAAACAACCTCAAAAGCATAGGTTCCCTTGCCATCTATTACTTGCAGGCAGTATAAAAGTTACCGCTGCGCGTCTAGCAGAGACAATTAGCGAGCCAAGTAAGACGGACAGAATAAGCCATTGACCGACATATTCCATCAGAAGATACCAAATCAAATTAAAACCATGTCTGCCCGAAAATGTATGCTATCAAGTTTTGTTTCAGAAGGGAATTATTGAAATTCTAGTTGAAAACATGATGACCAGATCAGCGCACAAAGTTGCCGTAGCGGTATGTCAAAGAGATTTATTTAAGGCAGTCAAGAACGTGAGTGCGTTTTCTATCGGCAGTACCTCATGCTGTATTTTAAAATTATTTCAAGCCACTAACCTCAATGCTTTCTGAGCTTCCACCACTTGCTTTAGCTTCATCTGCCTCGTTACTCTCTCGCCGTCGACGAGTTTTGCCACTTCGTCGAAGGATCAACGGGGTGGCGGAACGACCTAAGCTCAAGGCGTTCACTACAGGTACTAATGCGTTCTGAGAGCAGGAAGGTGGCACCACTCCTGCAAATAAAAGAAAAGCTTTATTATCGAGTCATCTACTATTTGGAGAATCATGACTCAAGCATTTACTTGAAAAATAAATATAAACAAAGATTTTTTGTATGTCGCAGTCGGCCACAAAAATGGAAATCTAACGAGGAACGGCTAAGCCATCTGAAGCATTTGAAGACGTCTATTTAATAATAAACGGCTTTCATTTAGAGTGAAGTTTAGCTACAAACTATTCCACTAGTTCACCATGGAAAAACTGGCACTAAAATATTGAAAACAATTTTAATGAACATTACATAGGTATGTGTGTGAAAAAAAAGATTTATATAGTATGCAGAATTATGAGGAAGTATAGATGATCTATAGACTGAGAGTTAATTCAGATTTGAGCATAAAATATAATTTGTTTGAATTGCTTTTGAAATATATTAAAATCAACATGTTCAGCAGTAGATGGTAATGCATTATAGGTAAAGCACAAAAAAATTGTGAACAGGCATAGTTAAAGTGTCAGTGAAGCGAATATTCCATGAGTGGATAGTACGAGATATCAATTTATTTTTAAAATATGAAGGAACTAAAGTATGTACGAGTTTGTGAACATAGCATAATAAATAAGATTTGTACAACTTTGCGACATTCAAGCAATTCAGCTGTTCGAAACCTGAACTATGCTCGTATTATCTTAAATTGTTAATCAATGTACAACATGAATATTGAATTTTTTTGTAGACGTTTAGCTTAAACTGAATCTAAAAACGGATAGTATACTAAATCACAATATGATTAAAGATACACAAATAAAATTTTTAGCTTTGATATCAAGTATTTATTTATTCAAGTACAGATGCCGTAAAACGGAAAAATAACTTTTAGTTACATTATTTGCATGATAAATAAATTTGAGATTATCATCTACAAACAAACATAAGTTTTCATCTGATTCTTCTATCTAAATAGCCGATTAAAGTTATGCGCAAATTATTTTCAATAAAGGACTTTAGATTTTTAGGAGAAAAATAACTTTGGATTTAGAGAGATTCAACCGGAGATATGTTCTATTTCCAATAAAATTTAGGTCCTCGATCATTTGTGCTTCCTAAATTTCTAAATTTTCATGATTGAAACTATGATATAATAAGAATTATGAGTCGTGAATCCACATTGTCTTTTGTAGTAGAACCCCATGTTCTGTAATATGGTCATTTGTTTGAAAGTACACAGCTTTTTCCAATTATTATATACTACTTATGGGCCGTAAGTCTGTATATGAATTTGCATTCTTAATTTTCGATATTGGTAAAATCAGAGATTTTTTCCCATGAATTTGGAAATATACATCTTTCTAAACAATAGTTTATTAAATGCAATATATGTAAAGAGATTTGGGGTATCAGAGTCTTACCATCGTAAGAGATACCCCAACAGTTCCCAAGGCGTTCAATTTCAATAAATGTAATAATGAAGAATGGGTTTGAATACGTGATGGGTTTAAAACTAAACTTATGGTTTGAATAGAGATTTGTAAAAATTTTGCATCATAATCTGATGAAACTGCTAGGAAGGAGAACGCATAGGCGGGTTTTCGGACCAGCACGATTTTGATTTTTTTATGTACGCAAAACAGCTAAACGATTTGACCACACATGACACTTATAGGAACCTCCTCCTTGCCAGTGTGGAGGTCAGCAGGTCAGTTTTAGATGGAATTTCAAAAAAGCTATTTTTTTACACCGAAGCAGCCACTCAGGCAGAAGCCTAAATGCAAAGGCTGCTATGAGGACCCCAAGGAAATTTTGTTAATCCGATTTTTGAACTGCCTAAGGTTAGTAGAACTGGGAAAAGCTTCTTCTTGTAGATTGTAAATATATTCAGTAAATTTTTGGGTCATGAATTACAGTAATGGACAAAAGTATATAGACAAATATGAATATTTACCTAAATACCTTTAGAAAACGAATTCATACTTCATTGCTCCATAAACAAATGCGTTATTAGTAGAAAAACTAAATACCTTGTTTTTACATTATCTACAATGAACACAATACAAGTCTGAATATAAGCACTTTTATGAGGGACAAAAATATGTAGACAAATTCTTTTCAACATTAGTTTAGTACAGTTTCGTGTCAGAAGAGGATTAGTTTGTGTTCATCAAGCATTGTGGAATAAGTTGAGTGATTTTAAGGCCATGCCGCGTGGTCCAGAAATTTCTTTCGATGTGAAAACTAAGATCATTCAGATACAAAGATGGTCAACGTCAAGTCTACAGTGCCAAAAATTGGAAGCTGAAGCGTAAAGCAGTTTGGGCAATATTGAACAAATATAAACAAAAAGGTATCTTGGGAAAACTAAATGCTAGATCAGTTAGATTAATAAAAGTAATTTCATCCAAAGATCCGTTAAAAACCCCAAGACAAATAAAAGCCGAAATCGAGATAAAAGGAATTGTCAGTGTTTCTACGAAAACTATAAGTAGAAGATTAAATGATTTGAAGTTATTTGCACGTCGCCCGAGTAAGCAGCGGCTAATCTCGAGGAAAAATCATAAGGACCGATTATAATTTGCACGGTTGCATCTTGATTGGAGCATCTGTGAGGAATCCAAGTTCAATATGTTTGGATCAGATGGTGTTCATTACGTTAGAGGTCCTAGTAGACAAAGATTGAACCCCAAATACACTTTGACCACTGTCAAATATGGAGGCGGGTCTGTTATGGTTTGGAGGTGCTTTTCGGGGTTTGGGATGGGACCTTTACATAGGATAGATGGCATTATGGATAAGTTTGTATACACAGACATACTAAAGCATGTCATGTTACCCTATATGGAAGACAATATGCCTTTAAGATCAATCTTCCAGCAAGATAAGAACCCGAAGCACACTTCAAATCTCGCAAAGAAATTCTTTCTTGATGAAAAAATACCAGTTCTCAAATGGCCTTCACAGTCTCCCGATATAAATCCCATTGAAAATCTATGGGAATACTTAGATAAGCAAATACGAGATAAAAATTATTCAAACAAGGATGAACTTTTTGCCGCTTTAGGATCTTATACGTAATTAAGAAACTTCTACAATCTATGCCGAGACGATGCCAGGCGGTGATTGATAATAATGGTTATGCTACAAAATATTAACACAAACATGGTTGGTTTTCTATAATTCAATGGACTTTGCTTCTTTTTTCTATAATTGTTTTGCTTTGTCTATATATTTTTGTCCTTCATAGTTCCATTTTTTGTCAATTATTTTTTTATTGAATGAGTTTATTCATGTATAAGTGAATATTATGCTATAACAAATTATGTATACAGGTTGGTGTATTAATAAAACAAGTTAACAAAGAAATACAGTACAATATTAATTTATCTATACACGTTTGTCCATTACTGTAAGTAAACAGGCATGTGGCAATTGGCCATCATGTTTATAGGTTTTTGGGGACGTTGAGTCCGACTATGTGGTCAGTTTGTCCGAATCAGGTAATTTTGAGGTATCATCACTATGCCTCCTCAGCCAGCCTTTAGGTCTTGTGAATAAGAAATGGTCACAGAAAACGACTTTACACACATAAAATCTTTATTTCAAATCGATACAGTTCAAACGGGTAAGTTGCTTCTACGCTCGGATCTCTTATCCCTCCTCAAAGACGCCCAAAAACTCACGTACAGGTTTAGTAGATTTGATTTCAAGAGACTTTCTCAATTTAACCTTGAAATGACCGAAACGTCATTTAAATGGCTTGATACTTAAACTGGCCTCAGATTCGTACTCGGCGACCCCGAACATTTATAAGCATGACGATTAAAAGCTAGATACCTGATTACTTACTTTGAAAACTTGGAATATGCTGAATCACTTTCATCCCGGCCAGGAGGAGGATCCTGTCAGTGCTGCATTGGTATTAAAGTCACAAACATGTCTATGTTAACATACTTACTCGCTTTGATAAACTGCCGGCTATTAACCTTCAGCGGACTGATACCGGGCGAATTGTAGAATCCCATGTCGAAATCAGACGTTGCATCATCCATAGGCGTGAGTTTGACAGGTGACGGCTGCATTGGGTATCCACGACCACCATAGGGCGGGAACGTTTTCGAGTCTTGCCCACTGGGCGATGGAGCAACCCTGTCGTACGAACTGCTGTTTCCGCCCATTTGTTGAGAATTGGGAGTCAACGGGCCCGGACTGGGCCCGCCCATCGAGAAGCCGCCCGTGCTAGATTGGCTGCTTGCTTGATCGTACATCTCCACTGCCCAATCCTTAAGAAAAACAAAAATAACTTGTGACGTCTTGAAAAACTTTAAATAAAAGGGTACTATATAAGTTTTGCAATATAACTTAACCAACGGGCGCAGGAGGCTGCATGTTGAGACATGTACATGAGTGCATAGTAGCCGCCAGCAGCACGTCTGTTGATTTAGTTGTTCATTCGTATTGACAGTGTAAATTGCGGACCATGGCGTCGTGGTCACGTAGTGAGGTACGGGCAGTTTTACGGTATAAGCAAAGGGGCAATTTCACTCTGGAGGACGCTGAGAGGGAAGGGAGGTCGCTAACGTCAGTAACAGAGGAAAACATTACTACTGCGCAATCCCGGGTGAAACTTGGCAGAGCTGATTTAAGGACTGGTTTTGGCGGATGGAGTATTGAATGTGGTGGAAATTACTTTGAACGTAGTCAATTAATCAAAGCTGTATTGCAAAACTTTTATAGCACCCTTTGTACTATGATGAAAAGGAAAAGCATCGATACATAGACCACAATCACGCGTCTATCCACCCTAGTTCTCGAAACCGACGTTTATTTCAAAAGCTAAAATGGCTTCAGAACCTGCACATATTAGGCTGAGGCCATATGATAAATGGCCATATAATATTGGCAAGCTTGGTTCTATAATAATATTGCCCATTGAAGAAAAGCATACCTCATGTATGTACACATGACCACATCGTACATCAAGAGGTATCCTAACCACTCCGACCAGCATGTAAGTGTATGTTATTTATAAAATATAACTTCCATATTTCTACGTTCTGGTAATACAGTGTCCGTCAGAATGAACATGTTTTTCGAATAGGTACTACATCGAGTGGGCTGTTCCCGTATCGGTGGCGAAGGCCGTGTTGGATAGTGGGAGAAGTGCCGTTTCAGTTGGCAAGATGGTTTGGAACGTTGAGCATCGTGTGTTCACTGTAGGTCGGTACTTTCAAAATGGCGAGTATGTCGTTCGAACGCAATGACATGACGCTGTTTATGAGTGATGAAGCACATTATTTTCATTTACATGGATACGTCAATAAACAAAATTGTCGATATTGGTCTTCAGTGAACCCCCAACAGTTGCATTAGCACCCCCTGCATACCCCGAAAATTACAGTTTGGTGTAAAGTAGGCTCAACGATGATTATTGACCCTTATTTTTTTGAGGATGATGGAGAAACAACTAATGTGAATTCTGAGCGTTACACCCACATGCTGAATAACTTTTTTTTCCGGAACTTCGACGTCGACGTGTCCGTCTCAGAACAGTGTGGTTCGAACAAGACGGGGCAATATCTCACACAGCTCGCTACCTGAAATCAAAAGTTTACCAAAGCAAGCCTCGGACCCTCGTCGATTTGAAGGAGGAAATAAGAAGAGAAGTCACCCAAATTCCTGCACAGATGCTGGCCGACGCAATGGGCTCATTTCGGGAGAGCCTTGATTCCTGCATTTCGGCTCAAGGGCGCCATATGGCCGACATAGTTTTTAGAACGTAAATTCTGTTTTACTCAAAAAATGGCATGCATTTCTGAGTATTTTGATATGATAAAATATTTTTCTTATACTTATTTTGACTGTGACTGTGTTTTGAATATCATATACGTATACCTATATAATCTTTTCAGTAGATTTAAGCTTACCTCGCTGTATCCTCTTCGCAACGAATGGCCGTTGGTAGATTCCGTATGGCTCACGTTGGGATAACTGCTGGAGTAAATGTTTGTACTGGTGCTCTGTCTTTGATTTTTCCTCGGCCTGCTGCGTCTTTCTCCGTTTTCCCTGTCATGCTCATACTTTCTTCTCATCGTTGAGTTCCAGTGGTTCTTAATAGCATTGTCTGTCCTACCTAAATATTTAAACAACAAACATAAAATATGCTTACAGATACATAAGTTGGGATTCACCTTTTCAGATATTATTACATTTGAAATGACACAGCTAAAGTTTGGTAAAAATTATTTGAAGAAGTGTTCATTTGATAAAGCTCTCGTTAAATTACCTCCGTCTGACCGGACTTTCGTTGAAAGCGTTAACTTAAAAACAGTATATAGAAATACCCCTGTAGAGAGACATACAGGATGTTGCTTAATGATGCACTAGTATTTTAGGATTTGATTCCTAAGATTTGTGGTAGCTAAGAATATTCGTACCTGGCAACAATTTAGCGATTCTCGCCCATTGGTTGCCCAATTTCTGATGCGCCTGGTATATGATTTCATCCTCCTGTTCCGTCCAAGCGCTCTTTTTGATTTTGGGATTGAGGTGGTTATGCCACCTCTCCCTGCATTGCTTCCCTATCCTGCCCTTTAGATGCCTCGCTATTAGCGTCCACTTTTTCGCCCCGTACCTTGCGACTAATTCTATCACCTTTTCGTCTTCCTGAAAAACAGAAATACACTATAATTAACGTATTCAATGAGCCGGATTCATAAAACAGAAGCATATGCTCGGAAGCATAAGGTCTTGCTTCGGAGAAAAAAGGTACAAGTATAGGCAGAGGGTTAACTACAAAAGAACTGCAACGTCTAGTGCTATTACAGCAGTACCAAACAAGTATTTTACATCAACAGTATTACAAAACGAAATTAGAAATGATGCAGCGTCAGAAGCCACCTGTAACTTATGATGTTCACGAAAATAAAACATATTATAACTTATAAATACACTTCAATCAGTTTATTATAATACTCAAGTTTCTTCTTATTTGTTGTCCTAGTTGGCGGAGAAGAAGTTCGTTATTCTCATGATTTCCTTCATCTTCATCTGGGTCTTGTTCAACTAACTCAAAGTCAGGATCGCCCAAGCTCTTCGCAACATTATGGAGTACAATACAAGCTATAATTATTTTCGGCTCATTTTCCCACTTTACGCGGCAAACATTCTGTAGGATAGGAAACCGGCGTTTCAGTTGGCCGAAACAGCGTTATCCTTCTTGTTGTAAAAGCTTATTATAATTTATTTCTGCACCTGGAGTAGGATTTCCGAAGAGAGTCATAAGGCATGGCTCAATACCATAACCGTCATCGCCAAGTAGTACAACATTTGCCTTATTTATTAGTTGTGATCTAGTCTGTGTGAAATAAATTACATCAATTGCTGTCGGAAATTTATACACGCTTTGCCATATCTGCTTGGCCTCCATTAGTTCATGGTTGGTAGTTGGAAACTTGATCCATTCGCTCGACTGTGCAACTATGCTGTTCACAACTCTATCCACAGTCCGAGATACCGTTGCTTGACTAACACCAAGCTCCTGACCAATACTTTGTTGATATCCAGGGTCACCGAGATAGCGTAGACATATCTTCATTTTATGAATAAATGAAAGTGCTCCTCCTCGAGTTTCCTCATTCTCAACTAAAAATCTGTCCGCAAGCCATTGTACATTTGCTTCGTCGAACCGATATAATTTTTTGAAGTCACGACCAAGTGAAGGTAAACGAGGTTTGTACGTTTTAACATCCCTAACATCCACAATTTCCGCCATCATCGTTTGACCACCTTTCGTTACGAAGTTGAGTCTGCTACTGACCACACTCAGAATTTTTGAAGGGTATGCTTCCTATGCCAAGTACTCGTATAAGGTGAACATTATGAATATCCTTTTACTTACGTCACTGCTTTGAAGGATATGCTTATGCTCAAAAAGAAAAAGCATTTACTTCACATTATTATAAATACCATCTGGAGGATTTCCTTCAAAATTTGCAAGTACAAAGATATCCTTTGTTTTATGAATACGGCTCAATGATTAATTTATTTATTTATTTTTAATGTAGTTTTATAGGGCACATTTGTCGAATCTAGGAGTTTCTAAATCCAACGATTTGTATTGTAGTATGCTCTGACATTTTACCGAACATATGAAGTTTCTACGCCTAAAAATTATGAGAAACAAGAAAGGAGATATGGGGAGGGGAGTTTCCGCTCGAGGCTCTACCACCACTCGACTCATTGCCCAAGCAAAACCTACTTATAACACTTTTTGGTCTTTGGCATCATAGCAACCTTGCATCTACATTTCATCTGAATCGGAGTAGTATTTTCTCAACAAAAGAAAATAGAGATTGAGATTACAACAAAAATGACTTTTAAAATAATCTTTTCTGTTTATTGAGGTTTTTAAGTTACGTGTATATACATTTTTCAACAATGCATCACATATTATGTATAAAGAACAATGATGTCTATAAGCCTTATGAACCAATAAAGATCTTCTAAGTCATAGACTATTTTTTATAGCCCAATCCTCGACAAAAACCTTCCTTCATTGTTTGGGTACGCAGGCCATTTTTTCAGGTAGATATAAATCTAGTTGTTATGTCATAAGTCACAAGACTGGCAATGATGCGAGAAATGATCACGTTACGCCGTAAAAATGTACAGAAACAAGTTTTCTAAACGTACTTTTTGCCTCCTGCTGAAAATTAGATTTATATGGCCTTCACTGATTTCAATGCCAAGTTTTTCGCAACAATGTCTTCATGAATTGAGATTATTAAAAAACCATTATTAACTTCTACACAATGAAGAATGATGAGGTTTCAATTTTATCTACATCAAACCTTATTAGCAAAAATCACATATAAAGCTCAACAATGATGTCAATTTGTAATCTAGCTGGAGGTATCTAGTAATGTTGAACAATCTTTGAAGATGTTTTCTAATCCTTGACCTGCCTGTAACTTGCAAAGTTCTGTGACTTTGATGGAATTTTCAAAGCTTTATAGTTTTCGAAAATCGGTTCAGTCGCGGCGGAGCTAAGGGCAATCAATAAAAAAACAGCTCAAACTTCACTTTTTGAAGTTTCATGGGTTTCTGATCATTTGTATAAAAATTTGTCTACACCTACGTTAAAAATTAGGGGTTAGAGGTGGTAGTATTTTTTTGCGTTATTTTGTTTATACGCTTCCAATCCCAGGGATTCTACGCACATATTAAACATATTTCATACATCATAGATTTCCTCGTATATTTGCCTATAAAACTTAGAATGATAAATACTTTCAATACACGCGTGCCGTGCAACTCAAAGAAGCCTGCTTCGAGTCCTGACAGATATTTGATCGATGGGTGTTTGGGCTGGAGAGAAGCGATGTTAGTCGTAGCAACGTTGCCAGATGGTCGATACTGTCGGTAGAACAAGGAAGAAATATCTAAATTGCAAAAATGTCAAATAGGTGGAGACAAATTGTATGGGCCTGTTTGACTGATTTGATACATTTAATTCTTTGGCATAAATGTAGGCAACTTTTTCACAGAAGGACTAACATGTGCCGAACATAATCCCCTATGAACTGATAAAAGGACAAAACATTCTTAGAACGGTGCAAAGAATCCTCGCGAGATTGTCACTTATTTATGTAAACATTTATTGAGCTTTGAAAAACAAACGAGGCACAATCTTACTACGCTATGAACAGAGTGAAGCTAACTTGAAAAGCGCCCTTTTCCTAAGATATATGGTATAGTGAATCTCATTATTACGTCCTAGATAGCATCAAAGGCGCTATGCAAGCTTTTCTGGACAAACAAAAGAAAAAATTCAATGGTCTGCACAAAGAAATGGTTCAAAGTAATAATTTTCGCTAATGAATGACACATACTAGCATTAGTTCCGCCCTGCTACCCTCAAGGGACAATGCCCTGCACAGCCCTAGAGGGTAGTCGGTAACATTTGTCGAACAGACGCAATGGAAAAGGTTACTGGGTGGGAAAAGGATAAAAGCTCAGTGTAATAATGCATAAAAAGAAAGAATGATCCTGATCTGGGCCATGAAATTCAATTTAAACACTTTAAAAACAAACAGTACAAAGAATATTATAGCAACGATAGATCTTTACAAGCTGCAGTCCAGATCAAGGACTTATTTTTGTCTCAAACTTATCATTAAACTTATTGAAACAACTGTGCATATACGATGTTAGGGTTTATACATCGGCAGTCTGTTGATCTGTCATGTTTTTCTTTTAAAATGTTGCGTTGTACTTTGGTTCGTTCCTTACATGAGTATCGCCGTTCCATCTGGTCCCCAAGTTACAACTTAGAGATTAACCAATTAGAACATGTGCAGAAAATTCTTTTGGGAATATGTGAATAATTGCATTAATCCTCACACATTTAGATTATTGTAGTACTGTATATTATCCTTTTATCACTGAGAAAATGCAACAGAAAATTCAAGTTTTACAAAACCATTGCATGAGGTTTTGTTTCAATGAGATAAACAGACGCGAACACATTACTGGGTATTATGTAAGGGAAAATCTTTTAAAGTTCAAATATGGCTCGTTACTTTTCTATGCTGTTCTACTATTTAGGGTTTTAAAATATAAATCTCCGAAATATCTTTTTGAAATATTCGAAAAAAGATCTTCACTCCATCAACTGTTCCTCCGTAATGAATATTGTTATAATATACCAGCCCACACTACCTCAAAATTTAAAAAATGTTTCTATTACATAGCTCCCAGTATACTAAATGATTACCCAATTTTCTTTAAATTAACGTCCATTCACAGCTTCAAAAGAGAGTTCAAAAGAATGCTATTACAGTTACAATTTAATGAATCTACAAGTGGCTGAATAAATCTCATTATTAATCTTATTATATTTTAAAGTTTTGTTAGCATTATTATAGTCAACTACATATCCTTTATGTAATGTATATGATATACCCTAGTAAGATATAGCAATGCACTTAATGAATTTACCTTAGCTATTCAGGCGGGGGTGAAAAATGGCTATGTCAATCCCCAGCCCTTTGGAGTATTATTTTTTTTGTGTCATATTATTTGCTCGAATTTTGGTTCTATTATGTATTAATACTCCAATAAACATTATTATTATTATTATAAAATGGGTTTCATTAGAAAGTATTGTATAGGACCAAAACCGAAGAAACGGCCAAAGGAACAAACGTTCTTTATTCTAAGTTATTCTTACAACAAAACCCTAATTTTTGGCTAACTAAAAGTTCGTCTTCGGTCGAAAGTTGAAAGCCGAACTTCGGATTCGGCAACGATCAAAAAAATTACCTCCATACTCTATCTTAAAGTGTAAAATATTAGCTGAAATGAGCACAATACGAAAGAATTCAAATATCCACATATTTGTCCCGTTTAAAGATGCCACTCAAACCTCTAAATCAGTTAAACAAACAGATCCACTTTACTTACATTCATTCATAAATTAACTCCATGAATATTTACGAAAAATAAATAACACGCACATATGGAAGCGTTGCAAAATGGTTCTGGCTTCCTAGAATGCTTCGAAAGGTCAGTGTTTGTAAACAATTAATTTGAAAGAGAAATATTCCAGCTAGGAATTATTTAAGGTGGCACTTACATTTGGTCAAAATTTATTGTACATAATG